TGTTTCTGTGCACTCTCACCGATACGTGTTCTACCGTGGCTTCGAGCGTCCGTGCTCTTCCGTAGCCCGTGCTTTTCAGCATGCTGGGGTGTCTATGTATTAAGTTCCCTTCCGTGGCCCGTACGTTCCTGTCATGTTCTATCCATCTGTTCTTTTCATGGCTGCGTGCTCTTTCATCTTTCACGCTACTTATAAAACTTCGTGGTTTGCATCGGCTAAGACTTCTATCATCGTCCATGGCCTTCCGTGCTTCGTGTTGCTCTTCTATCCCATCATCTACATAGTGTGGGTCGGTGTTCTTTCGTGTTTCGTGTTCTTGCTGAGTCGCGTGCCTCCGCGCAAACTTGATCACAAACGCTGTTCCGATTTTGTTTGATGTACACAACATATATTGTTGGAAAGATCACACAATATCTTAAGGTCGTGTGCAAATACAGAGGAAGATGATACTTTTCCCGGGGGCAGTGTGGGGTGCAGGGGTGTAAGCCACAATAGTCATATTTTAAAGTTTTCACATTATTAATAATAGTAATACAATTGTTATTTATTATTAAACGCTGATATAATTTTTATGTGTACTACTACTACAAATGACTGCAAGTAAAAATATGAAATGCCTTGATAATAGTACTAAGAAAATAATACTGTAAATTAAATTAGTACAGCAGTACTACGAAGCCTAAAACAGCATTCTAAATTCAATAAGTACTAAAGTTTCGATTGAGGCCGAAATAAAAGTCCCCAGAGCCTACATTTTTTTTCAACAGCTCCTACGACGATACAGTACGTGTGTGCTCATCAGCGCCTAATACTAATGCTATCTAACGCGTACACAGGCAGCGCCCTTTGCGTGGCCTTGCGAACCGCAGCTGAAAATGAGAGCAAAATGAAATTTAAACGGTGCTTTTAAGTACGATGTGTAGACCACATATAATGTGTAAGAAACACAATGTTGATTTTAGCCAATGGGGGCCGCCTTCGCTGCGCTCGGCAGCTTTTTAGCGAATCGAGGCCGCCTTCGCTGCGCTCGGCAGCCAGTAGAACGCGCGTATTTGCGTTACATTTATTAACCCTAGCCCGTTACGGACGGACTGACAGACAGACACCAGACTCCACTAGGGGGGTAAGATTAATGGAGAAATTTTTAAATGTAAAATTGCGACGACTACACGGTGCTCTCCATATGATCTGCTACAGTAAAACAAATGCGGATGGGTCTATTGACACTAGCTAAACATTCTCCATTAATATCGATCAAGCAGAGTTGCGAGTGCAACACGCTATATATAATACTATTGTGTACACCCCCATGCAACTACTTTGAGATCTCGATCCCTAGTGTCCATTTCATCGCCCATAAAAACTCAGCCCATACAATTCTCTAGTCAGCCAAAATGACACATTTTTTTATATAGGTTTTTGTATTGAGCCGATGATGGCCGTAATTTGTGTCCAGCTTGACAAATCTCTTTTTGTATGTGAGCCTCCCTATAAAGTGCAAAAACGCGAGCGTTAGCACATCCTTGCTATTTGAAGCATGTTTTACAGCTTGTGTACCGCACCGTCAAATAATCAAAATTGACTGAGTTATGGGCACTCGACGAGGTGGCCGTATAATTGTGTCCAGGAGTGTAGTACAGTAGACCAGCTAATATAAAACATATTTTCTTCTTGGACAAAATGTTATTATTAAAAATCAGTTAAAAATGAGCTAATATGATATTTTATATTTCAAAAATTGCGTAATATGTTTCAATCCACCAACCAGTTGTCATTAACATTCGACTAGTGGAAGTATTACTAATCAGCCGTGAGGGAGATGGATTCCGAGACAATTGTGAGGGCTCTCCCCAAGCAGAGCTCCGTTTTATCAAGAGCGCAAAAAATAAAAGTTATATTTTTGCTGACAGACGTGCTTTACTTCCTTTCGGTATTTAGTGTGGTGTACACCAGGATACACTGTGCATCAGAGCTCGCGGTGGTAGCTCCGTTTTTTGCGCGCATTGCGCACGTCACAAGGTTCGCTTTGAATACAAACTCCAAATATAAAGATTTATCAACTCCGTTTTTTGGCTACACAGAGTTACAGTTTTACTCTCATTCAGGAATCCGACAGCCATGGCCCACAACTACAACCTCCGGCAGCTCCACCACTTCGACTTCAGCGCCGTCATGGAGGCGACCACCGACGAGTCGAAGACAGTCGCATGGGCCATGAAGGTGGGGCTGCTGGAGCGGTCGATGCTCTACCCTCAGTCCACTCAGCCCATGCGTACGGTCACGGTCGCACCTACCAATAGTTTTGGCTTTTAAGGGTGTCGACAGGACGACAGGGCGGTGGTTCGGCCGCATCGTGTACGACGAGCGTACGAAGGCTACACTGCTGCCGATTATCAAGAAGTTCATCAGACCTCGGTTAGTACCGTAAACCTCTACTTCTCAAGCTTTATTTCTAATTATTTTTTTTACTAGAACTCGGATTCACTCGGACATGTTCGCTTCCTACGTGGCTGAGCGTGTTTCACGAGTGCATACGCTCGCCAACAACCGCACGTTGGCGAGTATGCACTACGAGCACAGTTGGGTGACCACACTCTCCACTTTGTGGACCCTGTCTCAGGTACGCATACGAACACTATTGAGGGTTTGTGGGAAATGCATATCAAACGTCACATCAAGGCGATGCGCGGCTGCAGTAAGAAGTACCTGGATGGCTACATCGACAAGTACATGTGGAGGTCGTGGTTTTTTTTTTCAACGAGGGCCTCTCCGGTGAGTTCATGTGCGGACTCGTACAGGCCGTGCAGCGGCACCCACAGCAGGAGGAGTAAGAGTACCTGTGTCGAGAGTTGAAGCAAATATTTTTTAAAATAAAGTGTTTTTTATTTTTCATTCTGCCAGATGCAGAACTCCGAAAAACGGAGCTCTGCTTGGGGAGAGCCATTGTGAGGAGTGACTGCAAGGTTGGCGTCGTGTGTTGGCACTGCTGAGCGCATTGATCTAGCGTTACAGGCTGCAGGTTTATTAGACGCACGTTGTGGACAAGGCTATCGGTAGAGAACAAGAATTGAATACCTTGTTTTGGCTCTATCGACATTAAACAACTGCAACGTTTGCAGTTTTCCATCTTCACAGTGAAATACTAGAGCAATTACTCGTCAGTTTTAAAACCTGCCATCAATACTGCTGCTTTAGAGCTTGACCAAAAGAGTTCCTTGGTGAGCTCTCGGTTCACAGAGGGTAAGGTGGGAAAATATAATCTAGTATCTAATATTTAATATTAATAATAATAATAATATGGGGATATCATGCTAACTTTTGAAAACTGAGTTTCTATTACTATTTAATATCGAAAATTGTATTACATGTATTACTATCAAAAAAATATATCTTTCTTCAAAGATTACTTGCGATGCAAAAACACATTATTTATACGATTCTACGACAGATAATTAATAATTATGGATGACATAAAACTTGGAAGCCCATGTTTTGGGATTTAAGCCCTTTTGAGTATTTGACCGACTTCCAGCTCTGTTGTAAGCAGGGACTAATGGCTACCAAATATCATACGTATGTTGCCTTTTGAAACCTGAGCTCTACGTCAAACCGCCCGCTGCGTTGATGTTGCGGATAAAGGATACAAGTAGTTAGTTTCTCCTAAATTGTACTGGAATCATCATGGCGGAATTCGCGATTTGTAAATGATCCGCTGGGTGATCAGCGTTTCAATCCGCTGACATTTGTGCGTGAAGCACATACACTGTAATTCTGCCGCACAATCTGACATTATAGATATGGAATAGCTTTCTCAGCGACGACACCAGCATTTTGCAGCCTTGTTTTTTTACAACCTGGCGATTTCCAAATTTCTAATTGAAGCCACCGCCGAATTTTATGCAGAGCGATGCGTCATTAGCGAATCCGCGTTCATGAACTGAAACCAGTACTCCCGAAGTCTCATCTCCTGGCACGACCTTAATTTTTCCAATTGGTTGCCCATTGACAATCGGTTCCTCGTGCAACGGCACACTGGAAGTGACAGACACTGGGAAGAAAGGAGCAGTGTCTGAAATCGCCGTCACTACCTTCAAGAAAACAATTGCGGAGATCAAGGCTCAGCTGCGTGCCTCTGGTTTCCCCGTGGACGACAACAGCATTGCCAGGGTTGCTCAAAATATAATGTATATGGATTTCTTCGTTTAATGAGAATAAATACCTGCATGGTAGATCGGAATTCTGCAAATAAATAATTTGTGCTGCGACTGTGGCAAATCAATATCTGCATCAAAACGTGGTCGTGTTACTAGATTAATGACTTTGGGGAAAACATGCTCCTCGAGTGCTGGGAAGGCATCAGGGAAGCGTCGGACATGGCAAAGGTTGCGAGAGTTGGTAATTTGGGCTGTGTGCGAATTGAAAAGTGAGTTTGAGTCGGCAGCACAAGTTCGCAGAGCTCAGAGCCAACGAAAATCTGGTGGCTGCCGAACAAGGACAATAAATTTCGTGTAGGAATTCATAAAATCCAAAAATAAAATGTCAAATTGTGGCCAGTCCATAAATAAATTATTTCTCTATTGAAAAAAAAATATATAGTAAATATATCTTGGAGGATTCCAGAGCATTGCTCTCGTCCAATGCATCGTCGGCCTTCCACGAAACGAGGAAAGACTAAAAATCATGCACGAAGACCTTCTGATGGACGGATTTAAACACAGGTGCTTGATGACTCAGCATACGCGCGGACGCACAAGCGGGGGCATCCGCAGAGCCATGCAATTTCGCTTCGAGTGTGTCAGCAAGTCATTTGCCTGAAAAAAAACTGCCTTCCACCTGAAGACTAATGCTGTGACCGACACCACACGATTTAAGGATCAGAGTTAATTATCTTTCCTTGTCGTATCCCCTAAAGATTGTGTACATGTTGTGTGTCATTTCTGTTGATTTGCATCACACTTCAACTCGAGATCCCTCGCCTCCATTCTCTGAGCTCCAAGTCGATGGCGCCCCCACTATGGCGCAGCTACGCCACATTCCAGTCGTCTACTAAGCGTCCGGCTGCCTCTAACGTCCAAGAAACGGCGGGATTTTTCTCCCGGATCTTCCTCTTCTGGGTCAAACCCATGATGCAACAAGCGCACACTCAGCAACTTAACGCTAGCGACGTGTGGCCTTTGCGTCCTTCAATCCGAGCCGATGTCATCCTCCAGAGGTTCAAGACGCCGTTGCAGCAACATAAGAATTTCCTTCCCAAGGCGTTCGCTCAAGTGTTCTGGTTCCAATTCGTCCTCACGGGGCTGGCAATGCTTGTGTCAATGATGTGCAACTTAATGGGACCCATCGCACTTAACCGAGTTGTAACGGTACTTTCGGATACTTCCGAAGAGGAAGCCGAACTCGAAGCTACAGCAGCTCAATGGGTCGGTCTGGTGTTCGCTGCCCAAGTGATTCAAGCTCTAGCTGATTGCTACATTGGGACACAGAACGAGGTGGCTGCTATCCAGTGCATTTGCCTGCTAAAAACTTTATTATTCCGGAAGATGATGAAGTTAAGTGCCAGTTCCCGCAAGAGAAAATCGACCGGAGAACTTACCAACATGTACACGGCAGACTGCGAGTCGCTGGTACGAACAGCGTTGGTAGTGCACCAGATGTGGCTCATCCCGCTCCAGATCCTCGTGGTTAGCTACATGCTCGTCCGTGTACTGAGTGTTGCTGCATTTGCGGGCATTGCCGTGATCGTGTTGATGTTGTGGCTCAATCATTTCGTCTCGAAGCAAATGCACAGCTTAGAACGCACACATCGACGTGAAAAAGACAAACGGATGAAAAAGGTGACGGAAGCGTTGAAAGCGGTGAGTGTCGTCAAGCTTAACGCTTGGGAAGGCCCGATTACGGCAGAAATTAACGCCGCACGGGAGACGGAGCTGCGTGCTTTACTCAAGATGCGCATCATGACATCGCTGAGTATCGTTCTGCTTTGGGGCATGCCGGTTTTCGTCAGCATTGCTGCGTTTGGCACCTTTTCTGCTGGATTGCATCGCCACCTCACACCCGCGATTGTGTTTACGAGTCTCGCGCTGTTTTTACTGATCCAAGCGCCACTGCGTAGCATCACGTCGATCGTTTCGATGGCTATTCAATGCAGTGTGGCGTTGGAGCGAGTATCGTCGTTCTTACGTATGGATGAGTTGGAAGAGAGCAATGTTATGACTGCTGACGATCCCTTGGCCCATAAATATAAAGCCAAAGACGTAGGTATATAGCTGTGGAGAATGGGGAGTTTGCGTGGGATAAAGAGGGTTTGTCCCTATTGAGAAACGTGGACTTGGAAGTGAAAATGGGGGACTTTGTAGTGGTCCAGGGTCCTGTTGGGTGTGGGAAATCTTTCTTGTGTTCTGCGCTGCTTGGAGAGATGCAGAAACGTAGAGAAACTGTGCTTGTAAGTGGCAGTGTGGCGTACTGCTCGCAACAACCGTGGATCCAGAATATGACTGTGAAAGATAATATTCTGTTCGGCCATCCGTTTGAACGAACCAAGTACGAGAAAGTACTTGACGCATGTGCCTTGACACGTGATCTTCAGTCGCTACCAGTAGGAGATCGCACCGAGATTGGAGAGCGTGGCGTCAACTTTTCAGGTGGCCAACAAGCTCGAATTGCGCTGGCTCGAGCGTGTTATAGCGACTCCAGCGTCTATATTCTGGATTCGCCGCTGTCAGCAGTAGACGCGATCGTGCAGAACGAAATAGTCGAGAAATGTTTGCTCGGACTTTTGAGAGAGAAGACGATCATATTGGTGACTCATAACCCGGAGATTATGACGTCGAGGTTCATCACACGAGCCGTCACAGTGAACGACGCAGGTTCTGTTATAGAGACTTTCTGTGCCGACAATCAACCAGACTACGAGGCTCTTGTTTCTCCAATAGGAAGAGATTCGGATCGTCTATCGTTCGATAACAATGCAACTACGTTGTATAGCATTAGTGAAGACACGGAAGATGTGGCACCAGACTGTTCTACTCGGAAGAAGTCGCTGAGTTTTGCAGGTACCGAAGACAGCGAGAGAGGCAGGCTGATTCAAGCTGAAACGCGGTCGGAGGGGCGAGTTGCTCGTCATGTTTTTGAGGCCTACTACCACGCAGTAGGCGGCCTACCAGTCGTGTCAGCTATTCTCGTGTCTCAAATGTTGTGGCAAGTACTGCAGATCAGCAGTGATTTCTGGCTGAGTCATTGGTCGAATGACGCTGCTACACTTGGAGCAGCTGCGGCGAGCGCACATACGCACACAGCGTATCGTTTAGGTGTGTACGCAAGTCTCGGACTACTGGCAGCAACGATGGTGTTTGGTAGGACCGTACTAGTCACGATCTATGGTATTCGCGCTGCGAGGAACTTATTCGACCGCATGACGTACGCTTTGATGCACGCGCCCATGCGATTCTTCGATGCGAACCCAATCGGCCGCGTATTAACTCGCTACGGAGGTGACGTAGCTGCCGTAGACGTCCAGATCCCCTTCATGTTCGGGACGCTAGCGGCCAACGTATTTCCCGTTGGCTGTAGCTTAGCCACCGCTGCGTTTTTGATCCGTTGGAAAGGGTTATTGTTGCTCCCAGTGATCGCAGTGTACGTGGCCGTCGGTAGTTTCTACATCTCGCCAGCTCGAGAGTTGCAGCGCTTGTCGAAGACTACGCTGTCTCCTGTTTTAACGCACATGTCGGAGTCTGTTGATGGTGCGTCCATCGTTCGCGCTTTCGGACAAGTCCAAAGATTCTTCCAGACCAGCAGTGCGATACTCGATGCGAACCATAAGATCTGGTACGCACAAGTGTACGTTACGCAATGGTTCTCGCTGCGTATCCAGCTTGTGGGCTGTTTATTGTTACTTGTGGTCACGTCTTCGCTCGTGCTTCTGCACCGTCAACTCGACGTCGCAATGATCGGCTTGGCCTTCTCGTATTCCTTGAAAATTGCAGCTAATCTGGAGGGAATCATACGCTCTTTGGCTCGTATCGAGACGGTAATGATCAGTCCTGAGAGGATACAAGAGTACATTGAGATCGAGCAAGAAGCGCCCTACCGTATCCCCATGATGGACCCACCAGCACAACTTGAGTGGCCCTCAACTGGGTCAATACTTTTCGACAAGGTTTCATTCCGATACCAACCGAGAGGCGACTTGGTACTGCGTAGCTTAAGCTTCTCTATAGCTGGAGGACAGAAGATCGGAATCGTTGGTCGCACTGGAGCCGGCAAGTCGAGCTTGGCTATGGCTTTGTTTCGCATCAGCGAGCTTACATCAGGTAGAGTGCTGGTCGACGGCGTTGATGTGGCCACTATCGGTCTCAAAACACTGCGCGAAAAACTGTCTATTATCCCTCAAAGTCCGGTACTCTTCAAGGGTTCGTTGCGTGCTTACTTGGATCCATTCGACGAGTTCACGGACGATCAGTTGTGGGCCTCTATTCGAGAAGTTGGGCTGACTCAACGTATCGCTGAAGACAAGAGGAAACTCGCGATGATCGTGGAGGAGAACGGCGAGAACTTCAGTGTGGGCGAGCGGCAGATGTTGTGTATGGCTCGAACTCTGCTGCGTCACTCGCGTATCGTCATCTTCGACGAGGCCACTGCGACGATTGACCACGAGACAGACCAAAACCTGCAACAAGTGATCCGTACAGCGTTCAAGAAGTCGACAGTGCTGACGATTGCGCATCGATTGGACACTGTCCTGGACTCGGATCGCATTCTGGTGCTTGATAAAGGTCGCTCGGTTGAGTTTGCGTCACCAAAGGAGCTAGTGAGTAAAAGCCAAGGACACTTCTTCGACCTTATGCGCGAAGGTGGATACTTGGACAAGTTCAAGCAGCAACAAGGAATCAAAGCGGCGAGTATCGCTTAGCGTTCGGACTGCGCTATAATCTGCGTACTTCCATTTATCTACGTCTTGGTAGTTTTAGTACACGATGAAGCCTCGTCGACAGCCAGTAGCAGCCAGCGGCCATCGTTCGTCTTGATGATCCACTAACGCGAGTTTTGCTACCAGCGTGAAAGAGCCTTTGACTGTCAGATTGGCTGCCTTCACATGCACTGGCGTCTCGAAAGGCAGGTACAGCATGGTCTGGTCTTCAGTATCACTGACTTGATCCCATGCGATCGGTAGAGTGACAGTCATTCGATGCTGGACAAGCTTATCATCTGACATTCCGTCGTCTAGTCCATAGATCGAGGAGCTTCCAGTATTAACAGCAGCACCAGCTATACACACGAGCACGTCCACTTGAACAGCTTCTGCGCGAGTGCTCCAGTAGCTTCGAGCTTTGCGGGACACAGCTAGCACACCTTTCAACACACTAACGAAATCTGTGCCAAGTGACACGCCGAGTTGGGAGCGAGAGCGTGGCTTGGCTGTGAACGTCGTGTTCTCCGCGTACGTTAAGAACTGGGCACTCGACAGAAGACGCTGCTCACTGCCTAGTCGAGAGCAGAAGAAAAGCTTCGGCAACACAGGAGGGAGAGCACATAAAGCAGCCACAAGTTGCTGCAGGACACGAGCACCGACACCTGGCTGACGTGCAGGTGAGAGCTTAGCGACGCGATCCAATTTCCCACGTACGTCTTCACTCAACGTCTTGAGCACTTGAAGACTCCACAGACAAGAGCCCCATTTGGTTGGAAAGTCGATGGAGTTTGACGATCGTAGCAACAACAAGCCGTCGACTGCCGAAGCCAGTAAGACACACGCGTTGGCGTGAGCTTGAAGCGCGTCCAAGTCTCGCTCATCGGCACCGAGCAGCAGACTACGTAGCACGTCGAACTTGTGTGCTAGAGTACGTAATTGCTTACTCAATTGTCCCTCTCGACCCACAGGATTACCCGGAGAATTGGTGTATGCAGCCTCACCTGCAAGCTGCTGTGTACTCTGTACAAGTTGTAGCCATTCCAGACGGAGAGTAAGCAAGTGGAGCTGGAGATCGAAGCGGAAACTGGACGTACGTGCCGCCTGTAAGTACATCCTCGCACGAGCTACAGAGTGCAGACTCTGTAGATGCACGGACCGATCGGTTGTAATACGAGCCTCGGCTTCACACAGCGTCAGTAGAGCGTGCAACCAGCCACCAAAGCACTCACTATCCGTCTTTGCTGCGACGATCTCCAGCAACTGAGAAGCCAAAGTGAACCGTCCTCGTAGTATTGCTAGCTTGGCCATCTCGTATCGCTCTGCGTGGGTCTCGTAGAGCGCAGAGTTACGCAGTTGCCGCTCGAAATCCGAGATTGTTTGGCTTATTTCCTTGTCTCCGTCTGCTTTGAGCATCAGCTCTTGCGTCCAGAGGAAGAACGTGGCAGCTACCGCCCGTAAGTGTGCTGCATCTGTGCGGCTGATAGCGGATAGCTCCTTGAGTAACATGGGCAGCTCTTGGCGGATGACATCGACACTTGGCGCTTGGAATTGAGCTCCTAGAACCTTGAAGAGGGACGTTCTACGAGTGTTGATGACACTATTATCCAGACTGCTATCAGCGGGGATCGACAGCAACTCGATTAAACGTGTAGCCACGTAAGTCGCGAGTAACTCAGGGAAGTCGTGAGTGAGTTGAACTATCGCAGCCAGAGTAAAGTTCCACGTGCTCTTGGCTGCGACGGGGGCTCGTGGGTGTAACAAGAGCAGCAATTCGTCCACACTGCGCTCTGTTCCTTCAGCTGCAAGTTTCTGACGAGCGATATTGGCGAGGATAGAGGTGTAAACCTCTCCAAATCGCTCGTTCAAAGCAACAGCAAGTAGCTTCTTGGCCACTTTCAGTAGAGCCTTCGCCTTCTCACCAGCCTCTTGCTTCGTCGACCACTTCTCAAGCACAAGCAGAGCTGACAACGTGATGCGCATTATCGGTCTACTCCGACTGGCAACTCGTCCAAAAACACCTTCTAGAAGACAAGTTAACTGTTCGTTCCCCTCGCTTCCCTTGGTAACGAGCTGCTGCGTCACTAGCAGCGCAAAGTTCCGTACAATTGCACGAGGGTCTTGATCCAGTACATGACACAGCAGTTGTCCGTGCATCTCCAGTAGAACACCAGGATACGCAGCAGTCAGCGCTGTCATCGCTCGCAAACTCGCCACTGCGCTCTTGTCGTCTGCGAGTCTTTCGTACAGCTCCGCACAGCGCGTCCAGGCCTGCTGCGCCTCTGTCGAGTCCGTCACTGCGTCTGCCAACAAGCAGCATGTCGACGACGTCTCGGTCTCTGGAGTTAACGTCAGCACGTCCTTCTTGAAGGAAGACGAGAGTGGTAGAATGGCACTTGCGGCTTCGATTGCAGCGCTGCGTTCGTCGTGGTCAGCAGCAGAAATCCCCTTGATAACCTGCTGCTGCACTGTCGTGTCGTGGATAAGGAGGGAGGGCATGGTGGCCAGCATCTGGAGAGTTAGCGTCCGTGTTGTGACACTGGTAGGGTGCGTTAACGGCCCCATGAGATGGGTCAGTAGCTGTAATAGCGATGTTAGTACTCGTTCTACCTTTTGTGTTTCTTGTTCTACCCTAGACTACCCACCTTGTTGGGGTCGGTCACTTGTGCCACGTGGCCTTTTGCTCGTTGGAATACTCTCAGGATGGCACTTCGCACAACGTCGTTTTCACTGCGGAATATTCGAGTTAGTGCGTTCTACCGTGGAAACTACCTTGTTCTACTTTTTTTTACCTTGTAGCAAAGTGTTCGGCCAATTTGGTACATACGGCAGACAGGAAGTCTGGCCACGGGAACGACTCCGGTGTGAACAGTCTTGAGTAGAACAGGAAACACTCGGCCAGAGATCCCGCCACGGCCCCGGGGTTGGTTGACTGTATTTGCAGAGCCTTCACTTGGACCTCGAGTTGGGCGAACTCGCGTAAGTGGAGGTCAGTGGCTGAGGTTTCCACGCGACGAGGGCTCAAAGCTGAGGGGAACTGGTCGTTGCGCGCTGCATGTTGTGAGTCGGTCGCCGGGTCTCCATGGAACACGCGGTAGTGCGCCTGAGGCACGGCCAGCATGTCGACTGTAAAAGTTGATCGGAGAGTGCAGTTATTAATTGGGGGTGTTTTTATCCAATAATAGAGGGTACGTAGCTGAAATAAATGACTGCTTTTGCCCAATAGCATGAGTGTAGCCATCCACTATTTGCCATGGATCTAACGTTTGCACAACGTTAGGAAAGTTATCATATCTGATTCTGCTGACTGGTAGATGTAGTGCTGCCTGTAAGATCGAGTCTGCAGCAGCACACTGAACCCATGACGCTATGAACTGTCCGCAACGCGTCGGAGGCGTTAGCGGCTGCGTTTAAAGTAAAGACAAAACGACCTGACAACTATTTGGTGTGTCCTCATCAAGGTTTATTGGAGCCCAACGGCACAGCGTCTATCTCGCTAGTCTTACGGCAGAAAGATTGCAATGAGTTACTGCATTTGCACCCAACAGAGCGACAAAAGATCAGTGACAAGTTCCTCGTACAGAGCATTCAAGTGGATCAAAAGATCCTACGAAAACTTCAAGAGGAGGACACCCGAAGACATGGCACTCGAGCTTTCGAGGATGTGGACGCAAGTGGACCGACAATCGATTTCTAGTAAGCAACTCGTAAGTCGCTTAAACCGGGACCAGAGGAAGGATTGCAGCAACTGAAACTTTTGAGTCGACGTCGAGACAACCCACGAGACTCCATAAGCGATGCGACGTCGACTAGTAGAAGCGCGGGACGCGCCATACGTAGCGATAAAGAGGCCACTGCACTACGAAAAAGATACAACCAGGTAGGTGAGGACGTGTTAGGCGGGGATCTTGATGATGCTGGCTAACAATTCCTTGTCGGTTTGAAAGCTGGTGGCGATTGTAGAGCAACTTACGGTGCGGCGTGACGCTTTGGCTACTGATTTAGCTACAACGGAGCATCAGTTGCAACAGGTAACGATGGACGCACAGCAAATGAGAAAAGCATTGGGAGACACCAACCAGCCGACTGAGTTGTCTTCACTTCCTATAATACCGCGACTTGGGTCACTGCAGTAGCGGCTGCGATAGTAAAAGACTTCGAAGAAAAACAATTTAATCGACGAGATGAGATGTTCAATTGCCAATGTGAGGACCTTGTCATCGTGAGTTGCAAGTGAATCTCGATGACGCAGCCAGCACTGACCCCGCCAAGGTCGTCCGTAAACGACGATATTATCTACAGCTTGGTGATGGGCCCACGGTTATCACACTTTTTTTCCGGCAAGGCATGAACGCAGCTAAAAAAAATGACCTCGCGAGTCCAGCAATCTACGGTAGTACCGCCCCGGCACTCAGATGACCTAGCCACTTTTAATTCTTCCTCCTACATGCAACACCTCGCGCCCAACGCTGAAGACGAATCTAGCCATTCGCCATGCCTCCACCTAGCGACAAGAGCGAGTCTGCTAACCCCAAGCGGTTGACTCGAACGCACTCAGAACTGCGCGACCGTGTGGTTTCCCACATGGAGAAGACACTGGATGAGAGCTTCCCACATACGTAAAAAAAAAATCGATACGCTTTAAAGAAGTATCCATCGCGGTGGACGTCGTGGTCAAGGACAAAAATGACGCCAAGACGGAGCTTGCGACGTTGCTCAACGCTGTTAAGACGAGGTACCACGAGCTGCGCTCCAGTAAAAATGTCGTAAGCGGTTGCCACACCTGGTATCGTATGTGCCTCAGCGCAACGAGCACTACGCCCTGTTGACAGCGAAGGAGACGGTTGAGTTCGCGCACGCTTGTTGCGGTGGGGATCTGGCCGAGTACTGGGAGAATCAGTTCGTTCACGGCACTCCAGAGGAAAATGCGCAGGCTTTGAAGGTGGTTCAAGCGATGTATCAGCACTATCCGGACCTCGTGATCCAGCAATTAGGACTCGAAAATTGCCAGAACACCGTCGTGGGAGATGAGATGTTGCGTGGTGTGTCCGGTGGCGAACGCAAGCGAGTGACGACTGGCGAGATGGAGTTCGGCAACGCATACGTCTAGATGATGGACGAGATCAGCACCGGTCTGGACAGTGCAGCGACGTTCGACATCATCGTGATGATGCTGAACGAAGGCCGCGTGATGTACTATGGTCCTGGCGAGGAAGCGTTAGGATACTTCGAGGGTCTTGGCTTCAAGCGTCCACCTCAACGTGACGTGGCTGACTTCTTGATGGATCTCGGTAACTTCAATACGAAGTTACGAGGGACGAAGTATTCGCTATCCACAGGACTTTGCTGAGGCCTTTGAACGATCCGCACACTACACTCGAGTCAAAAAGGATCTTGATGAACCTGAGGTTGGTCTGCAGACGTGGACTCAACTGGATTTCTACCAGTTCTTTGGAGCTAGCACGTTTCTGCTTATGAAGCGAAAAATTAGTGATAAGACGTGAGATGTCGGTGCTTATCGGACGTTTGTTGATGAATACAGTCATGGGACTACTGTACGGCTGCGTGTTCTACCAAGTGGACCCAACGGATCCACAGTTAGTGATGGGAGTCATCTTCGAGGCAGCGCTGTGTTTATCCATGATTCCAGCCATCGTTGAGGCTCGTGACGTCTTCTACAAGCAACGATGTGCCAAATTCTTGTGCGCTCTCTCGCTGTGAACCAGTACACGGAGTCAGGCTTTGACATGTTCGTGTACAATGTCGTTGACTATTGCGCCACGTACGGCATGAAGATGGGCGCTGCAGAGGTACCCTGCAAAGCATTGCTCGGAAGCAGATACAGTTCCAGAGGGAGCTCACGAAGCCACACATACACGATCGAGCCGAACACGACCACCTCCAGTATGATAGGAGGGATCTGGTTCACCGAGCTGGCCAGCACGTACGACGCCCCCGCGCCACAGAGTTGATCCAATAAATCCACATGAGATAATCCGGAATCTGGTCTTTTGTGATGGCAAATCCAGCGAACAGGACGAAGAACTTGACCGCAACACTAGCAATTGGGTTGACCACGTTAACGTTGGGTGCGTGGATGTTGGAAGTTATTGGCGCTGGTGTCGGTGGCCACGCTGATGATACAGATTTCGTGAGTGTTTAAAAGTCCAGTGCAACTTTCGAGCGCCTGTAGTCAAATTTTCGTGAGGGTGTAACTCGACCGTCGTCGTCGATTCCAGCGTTGGAATACAGCGGCAAACGCGCTGCTACTGAGCTGACGCAGATGAGGTTTTTACTGCAACGTTTCTTCCGAATGTACTGGAGAACGGCGTCGTATAACGGGACCCGCTTTGGCGTTGCGTTGGTCATGGGTCTGCTCACTGGGATCACGTATCTCAACACGAACTTCCGGCGTCAACTCCGGAATGGGCATGGTGTTCTCCGTTATGGGCTTTGTCGGAGTCATCTCATTCAGCCAGTTGCAGCAAAAGAACGTGGAGTGTTCTACCGAGAGCGAGCAGCGTAGACGTACAACGCTTTCTGGTATTTCTCCGGCTCCAGTATGGTGGAGATTCCGTACACCTTTGCAGCTGTTCTGGTGTTTATGGCAGCGTTCTACCTGATTGTGGGCTTACGCTTTCTTCACGTTCTACCTGATATTGGCGCTCTACGCTCTGATTCAGGAATATCTCGCTGAATTTGTCGTTTTCCTGTCTCCTAACGTGGAAATTGCGAAAATGTTGGGGATGGTGGTGAACTTGATCACTTTCCTCTAATCCGGCTTCAGCCCACCAGCGGCGGCACTCCCCGAGGGCGTCAAATGGATTTACACGATCAGCCTGTTGACGTACTCGCTTTCCGCTTTGACCACCGTTGTGTTTGGAGATTGTCCGAGTGGCAATAGCAACGCCATTGGATGCAGGTCCATGCAGAATGTGCCTCCAACGTTGCCGAGTGGCATCACTGTAAAAAAGAACCTGGAAGTCGACTTCTCGATGGACCACAGCGAGATCTGGAGAAACTTTGGCGTTTTACTCGCTTTCGTCATCTTTGTCCGCGGTTTGACGATTCTTGCCATGCGCTTTCTCAACCACCAGAAGAAGTAGATCTCATTCATTAGTAAAATGCCTTTTGTTGTTTGTCAAGAATAGTTGCGTCGTTTGCCTACAGGAATGTTGGTAAGAAGAGATCAGTTTGCACCGAGCGTAAAGTGTAAGCCTTACCCGCCATTCACTTGCCATGAATGAGACCAAGAGGGTCATAAGCAAGTTTCCCTGTTGTTGACGATGTAATAAACACTCTTCATCTTGCTTGAAGGCAATTTTGCTACTTTTTCCATCATTGTTTCCACTTTGACACGCCAAAGTTTCATTTTCGTTGCCAATGACCATCACTCCGCATCCGTAGTGATCACTACGTTTCTCATCATTCCGCAATCTACCGGGTCGGTATGACGCCGGAGTTGTTGCCGCTCAAGTCGTACGACACCTTCGACCACTCGCTCTCCAAGCGCAGTCCGCACCCTCAAGATGTCGCCCGGGTGGGGGGGGGGGGGGCCCCCCCCTCTTTTTTTGGAAATTGCTTGCCCCCACTAAAGTAACTCCGCCCCGAAAAAAAAGACTCCAAGCCCAACAACTGTGGCCGCTTGCGCTTGGGGAAATTAAAGCCCCAACAGCGTTGCTAAGCTCTTTCCAACCTTCTCAGAAATCTCTCAGTCCATGTACAGGCTTCGTCGTGTGTTTCGCCGCCAAATCTCTTCACAGGCGTGGCATTCCTCGTATCCATGCTCTGCAACTTACTAGGCCCCGTCGTGCTCAAGGAGGTAGTCTCCAGCCTCTCCATACTAGCTGAGAAAGACCCAAACGACGAGGCCTTAATACTACAGACCATTTGCGTCCGGGTGGCCACGCTCTTCGCCGCTAAAGTGCTACAAGCATTAGCAGACACATACGCGAACTTTTACAGCGAACTCATCGCAATTAAACTCGTGGCCTCCGTCAAGACGCTGATCTTTCGGGAAACATTGAAATTTAACGCCCAAGCGCGCAGAGACAAGTCCACAGGCGCCATAGCCAACATGTACACAGCCGACAGAGACGCGATCTTGGCCACAGCCTTCTTGGTGCATCAACTGTGGCTCATCCCGTTGCAACTCGTCATTGTCAGCTACATGCTGTACGTCGTACTACACCTTTGCCAGTCCAAATCGGCGACAGTGTAAAGCAAAGCTGTGTGAAGTAACTTAAGTGACAAAGAAATTTTTAATTTTTATTTTCAAAAATTGACTTTAGAGCAATGGCGATTTAGTGCAGAGCTAACTGGTGGTCGGCATCAAAACAAGTTAAAAAAGTCCATCCTGTCTTCGCCCTTTGCTTCTTCCTTCCGAGCACCATCGTACCCGGCACCCCCGCGTTAAAATTCCATTTTATGCTACCTCGGTCGTTGTCGACACGTGCAAAATGCAACTTAGGCCACACACTCGACACGCAGACAGAGCCGTCGCGACTGGGCGATGCTGGACGACTCCATGAGCATTGAGCGGAAAATTCGCTCCTCGCTGTAGCCTGCCTTCTCCAGCATCGTGATGCGCTCCAGCGGCTTGAACCAGCGCACGCGTCTCCGCCGATGTCGTCCTGCGGTTTCCTGCCTGTCCCCCGCCTGTGTTCTCCCGCTGATGCTGCGCCGCGTTCACTGAAGTCCTCCACACACATTGCGGGGTTCGAGCCAGCCCCACCGCTGGACCACCGCGTCGAGGCACTGCGCTGCCGCCGATGCCCACGCCGAACTCGTAGACGGTGACGGTGGACCAGCGTACGCTCTTGGTCGCCATGGCTGCTGTGTATGTGGCTGTTGGACTGGGGCGAGGAAGGAATGGAGGAAAGACCCAGAGGGCGTCGGCTGTATGTCGTTCACGCGCCCCTCCCGGGTGGCCACTCACTCGCGCCGCTGCCATGCAAGCACCAGATTTGGTGGATCTGCTCCATCCACTTACAAACACTCAGTGGCTTGCCTTGCGTTGTTTTTCCCAGTCAGCGCTCAGTTCAACATCGTCCGCTTGCCCAGAAAACAGAGCGCCGGATGCAGCTGCTTGAAAACGCTGCAGAGCATAGCTTCCATGTATGGATCTGCGCTTGGTTAACAAGATGGCGCGCCACTGTGCGTTGTCAGTGGCGGCAGCTATTCGTAGCAAACCTATGGAGTACGGCACGTAAAGTTTTGCACTACACTAAATCAACTTTGCATGACAGGCTTTTTCTAAAAAAATAAATTTCAAAAATTAAAAAAATTAATTACGGGACGTTCCACTTTGCTTTACACTGTCGCCGATTTGGACTGGCAAAGGCTGTAGACATGGCAGCACTAGCCGGCGTGAGTGTGATTGTAGCCATGTTGGGCGTCAACCACCTGATCTCCAAGTGGATGTTCGCGTGTCAGCGAGTCTACAGACACAGCAAGGACGTGAGGATGAAGAAAGTGACCGAAGTGTTCAAAGCGGTGGGAATCGTCAAGTTTAACGCGTGGGAAGAGCGTCTGATGGAGCAAATTAAAGCAACTCGAGCGAAGGAGATGCGAGATCTCTTCAGGCGCCGGTTGCTGGCCTGTTTGAGCGTCGTAATGCTCTGGGGCATGCCGGTGTTTATCAGTGTGGCCTCGTTTGGAGTTTACACGGGCGTGATGCACCGGAATTTGACGCCAGCGATCGTGTTTACCAGTATTGCGCTCTTCCAACTCATCCAAGGTCCGCTACGTATGATTACCAACATTCTACCCATGCTCGTGCAGTCCAAAGTGGCGTTGGAACGCATTAAAGCGTTCTTAGAGATGGCAGAACTGGAGTCGGATAACGTCATGCCAGCTGATCACCCACAAGGCGAGAAATACGTTATCAGGAAGGTGGTTGTCTATGTGGAAGACGGAGAATTCGGCTGAGACCAGGACTCGACGCTGCTCAGGAACGTGAACCTCGAAGTCAAAGCTGGAGACTTTGTGGTGCTGCACGGCTCCGTGGGTTGCGGTAAGTCTTCGCTGTGCTCGGCACTCTTAGGAGAAATGGTCAAGCACAACGGAGCGGTGTTTGTCGGGGCACGTGTGGCCTACTGCTCGCAGCAGCCGTGGATCCAGAACCTGACTGTGCGAGACAACATCTTGTTCGGGCTTCTGTACGACCGCAACAAGTACGAGAAAGTGCTGGATGCCTGTGCGTTGACAGCAGATCTGGCCTCGCTACCTGCAGGCGACTCGACGGAGATTGGAGAACGAGGAATGAACTTGTCGGGAGGGCAGAAGGCGCGAATCGCGTTGGCCCGAGCTTGTTATAGCGACGCAAGTGTGTACCTGTTGGACTCGCCCTTGTCGGCTGTGGACGCTATCGTGCAGAACGATATTTTCCAGAAATGTATGCTAGGACTACTCAAGAACAAGACCATCATCCTTGTGACGCATAACCCCGAGATTATCGAGTCACCGCGTATTTCTCGAGCTGTAACGATCGATGAGTTGGGAGAACTAGTAGAAACGCACCACGTGGACACCCCGATCGAGACGGAGAGGCCGTTGGTGTCTCCATTCGCGGCTCAGCCGTACGAGGCTGTCAATTTGGGGTCTAAGAACGAAGGAGAGAGTGAGTATGGGACCCTGGAGAGAGTGAGTATGGGACCCTGGAGATTGATTTACTGCTGGATAAAGAGCCTCGGACTGACGACGACAGGGATCGTAGCAACATCCTCGAGTTGGCAGAATTTCGCCGTGTACGCCATCGAAGCCGAGAGCTTTATTCTCTGTCGCTGGTGATAACACTGTTGAGCTGGAAAAACTAGGAAAACTGGTGGAGGAGGAGGAGCGAGTGGAGGGACAAGTGGGGAACCACGTCTTCAGCGCGTATTATCGCGCTGTCGGCGGCTTCCCGATCGTGTTTCTTTTCTTGCTGACGTCTGCTTGCTGGCAGGCGTTGCAGATTTCGAGTGACTTCTGGCTGGGTGCATGGTCCAGTGACGGCGTCCACAGTCAGGACTCCACGTCGTATCGACTTAGTATCTTCACAGCGTTGGGTCTCGCGTCGGCGTTGATGGTGTTCGCGCGTATGTTTATGACTGCGGTCTATGGTTTACGTGCCGCTCGACGGATGTTCGACGTGATGACGGAAGCTCTCATGCACGCTCCTATGCGCTTCTTCGACGCCAACCCGATCGAGCCGATCCTCACGCGTTATGGCAGCGACGTGTCCGTCGTGGACTCCAACATCCCGCCGCTGTTCAGTCGAATGTCATCGACGGTATTCTCGGTTGGATGCAGCGCTGTCACCGCTGCGGTTGTGATCCGCTGGAAAGGGTTCCTGCTGTTGCCAGTGGCGTATCTTTACTATCGCATTGGATCGCTCTACCTTCGTCCAGCGAGAGAGCTGCAAAGACTGTCCAAGACAACACAAGCCCCCGTGTTGAATCATCTAGCTGAGACGGTGGATGGTGGCGCTGTCATTCGTGCTTACGGTCGTGGTCACGTGGATCGTTTCCAGGTCGCACACAGCGAGAAACTGGACGACAACAACAAGATTTGGCTCGGCCAGTTGTGCGTGTCCCAGTGGTTCTCGTTGCACATCCAACTTGTCGGTAGTCTCCTGGTTCTGGTGGTCACTGCCTCGCTCGTGATGCTGCGTCATCAACTGGGAGCTGCTGTGATCGGTCTCGCCTTCTCGTATGCTCTGAAAGTATCCCAGAACCTCGAGAGGTTAGGCAAGCGCTGTCCCAAGTAGAACCGATGATGGTGAGTCCGGAGAGATTTCAAGAATACGCGGATATCATTCAGGAAGCACCGTCTCGCTTGCCACTCGACCCGCCTAGTGTACAGCACCCAGAGGTGTGGCCGTCAGCGGGGTCGGTCGAGTTTAACCACGTGAGCTTCCGGTACAAGGATCAAGGTCAGCTGGTCCTACGAGACCTGAGCTTCTCCGTCCGTGGAGGCGATAAACTTGGCATTGTTGGTCGCACTGGAGCTGGCAAGTCCAGTCTGACGATGGCTCTCTTCCGGATCAACGAGCTGGCTGCAGGTTCCATCTGTATCGACGGAGTTGACGTGAGTACTATTGGCTTGACGACACTGCGCGAGAAACTCTCCATCATACCGCAAAACCCGGTGCTGTTTAAAGGCACCTTACGCAACTATCTGGACCCGTTTGGCGACTTTAGTGACGAGGAGCTCTGGACGTGTCTGCGTCGAGTGGGTCTTGGCTCTCGTATCGAAGCGGAGGAGGGCAAACTCGATGCGCTTGTTGAAGAAAATGGCGAGAGCTTTAGTGTAGGCGAGCGACAGATGCTGTGTATGGTCTGCTCGCTACTGCGCAAGTCGCGTCTCGTGGTATTTGACGAAGCTACGGCTGCAGTTGACCATGCTACGGATCAAACTCTGCAACGAGTTATTCGCGAAGTGTTCAAGGACTCCACTGTGCTTACGATTGCGCATCGATTGGACACAATTCTTGACTCGGACCGCATTTTAGTGATGGGTGGTGGCTGTGTGAAGGAGCTCGCAAGTCCTGCTGAGCTTGTTCAGAGAGGTGAAGGACACTTCTTTGACCTCATGGAGGAAGGAGGATATCTCGACCGCTTTCAACAGAGCAATGCCGTTGAAAACGTCAGGCTAAATGCACTGAGACAACGTGATTGAGAACGAAAAAATAATTTTGCAACTGAGATTTTCGGCGAGTTGATGGCAATCTGCGAAGAGAACGCGAAAGATTTAGCAGGCGGATACGCGCTCCGAGGCCACTGCGTGATCTATACACCGATCGTCAAGTCAACGTTTGTGGATCGCCTGGATACAACTCTGGACGCCAACCGCGTGCGTGCTCGCACTTCGTTAATCACATAACACATATCCTGACTGCACATGAAGAGGTTCAAGTGGTTGGTGTCAACAGCTCTGGGGTACGGTACCGGTAGTCCAATATTAATGCTGGATAGTACCGGCGATGAGGGTGGTAAACGCTATGTTACCGATGTAGGACTACATGTACATCGTCTGCGTCGATCGTGGTGAAAACTAAGATGGTGAAGTGACGTTGTGCGTGAATTATTAATATTAATCGCTGAGAATGACAAAAAAAGCTGGACCCTCGAAGGTTTCACGGATGACGACTTGCAGCACTGCTACGACGGACTCGAGAGGAGTGGAGCACCTCTGTCAGGGTACCAGGTAACAATGAGTCAAGGACACGTACTACGTCCGATCGTGCGGACACTTGCCGCGCACTGTGCGACGCAGTGTTGCAAGTGCACGACCGAGACCTCGACGCATTGACGATGAGCCAGCGCATTACATGTAGCCGCTCGAAAGAAACGGCGAATAGGACAGGCAGTCGGATTGAGGTGGAGCAGCGCGGCATTTGAAGAAGGAAAAGAGAGAGCTGCGCGATCCGCACACCAGTGCACGGAATGGACGACTACGATGCGACTACGAAGGTGCTTTCGTTGACTTCCGACGTCGCCAGTTGGACAGTGTCCAATTGAAGCGACATCGTGAGTCGTCGTCACGCCGTGGAGCGGCCAAGTGGGACCATGAGCACGCGGCAGGGTGATCAATGATCACCCCCCGGGTGACCTTGATCATGTTCTCGAAGAAAGAGAGAACGTAAAGAGCCCCCATTGCCAGTATGGAGCTCACCTGATAGTTTTCTGCCGAGTTACAAACTGCCGCAACCCTCTTTCGCCATGCAAACCGGCTGGGTGCAACGCCAGCCAGCCAGTATTGACCGCGCTCATGAGCGTGACGTTTCCTAGGTGCATCATGCGCAGTATCAACATGAATGGCAACAACACTTTCTTCCCTAGTTGCAGTAAATGCAAGTGCAACACGTTTATCATCGCGTGTCGGATTCAGTACAATTTCGTACCCTTCGCTTTCGGTGAAAATTATCGTTTTGCTTCGCTCTGTCCGGCTCAAGGCGTCCCTTTCACATCTCTACCCATATTGTCCATACAACATTGTCATCATCCCTTTCTATACGCCATTTCTTACCGAACGGATGGGAGTCAGAGCAAAGAGTCCCGCCTTCATCTTTTTTCCTCACTCTCGAATACGACGTCGCGAAGACAAGGGACCATCACTCTTGTGAAATGGCCCGAGGCTTCTCTTCGTCGCGGGTGGCGGGACCCGCGGCTTCTACGGCCAGCAACGAGTCTCTGGGTGCCTCGCGCGTATGGACGCCTCTGCGCGAGAACTACTTCGAGCCTCCGCTGCTCTCGTCGCGTGAGCGCGCGTACCTCGTGCGCAAATCATGCGAGGCGGCTCAGGAGCTCGTGGAACGCGCACGCAGCGCCGGCGGGCCTATCGCATGGCGCCACGTAGAGAAGGACAATGGCGTACAGATCTATGCGGGCTCTCCGCGCTCGACAGCCACCGGCGCGGCCCTCACCGCCGCCAGTATGTGTGGCGTGACCAGTGTGCCGGGCACCGTGAAGGAGGTGGCGTCACTCTTCCAATTAGGCTCGACACGACAAATGAAGGAGTTCGCTAGAGCGCATCGAGAATGGTTCTACGACGGCGTGGTGTTGCATACCCTGGCTCCTCGGACAAAGGAAAAGCCTTTGCACCAAGTGACAGCCAAGTGGATGGTTGTGCAGATGCCACACGGTTTGCCACATCGCGATTTCTGCTACTTGGAGTGTCAAGACAAGTTTATCGATGCCAGAGGACGCAAAGGGTGGGTTCTGGGCCAACACTCGATCAAATTACCCGGTTGTGACGACCTGAAGAAAGAATTCGGACTTGTGCGTGGCAGTTTGTACCATTCCGGCTTCGTATTGGTGGAAAGTGAAGAGCGACCGGGTCATGTGGATGTGATTCACCTCGTGCAACTGAATTTGAAGGAACACACTCCTGTGCCCGCCAGTTTATTGCGAATGCGCGTGTTGTTCGTCGCCCAGGTGAGGAACATGCTGAGGAGTAAACGTCTCAATGAGCAGCGATACTTGAGCGACCTGGAGCTGGTCCCCAGGAAGTACAGAGCCAGATGTGCCGTGTGTCAGGACTCGTTCTCGCTCTTATTATTGAGGAAAATGAACTGCCGCAAGTGTGGAGAAGTTGTCTGTGCTGCCTGTAGCAAGGAATTCCCCATTGAGAACCGCAACTTTGCGGCGACGAATGGAGGCGACGAGGTGCGTAAACTACGCATCTGTATGCACTGTTTCCAGGTGATTACGAACGCCCCCAAGCCCACGTCGGCTCTGGTTGAACCGCCACATTCCTCGACCATGTCAATGAGTTTCTTGGGGTATCATGATGATGACAGACGCGCGTCATTTATGACGTCTTGTGTTGGTGGGCGTCATGGTCACAGAGAGGAGGAAGCGCCCAAGATTTTCTTGCAGTCCATGCGACGTGAGAAACCTTCAAGTCGCCGGATGTCCAGCACGTCGCCGATTCCTGGCTTTGGTGCGGACTTTCCGCCCTCGACGTCGCGTCATTGCTCACGTGGACAACCCCCCGATGCTGATCTGTATAGACGATCGCAGAGATACCAGCAACAACAACAGGACTACAGTCGCTCACGTGATCACCGTGGCAGTCAACGTATGCGGCCTTCTGACTTCCGACCAAGCCAGAGTTTGTCGCTGGATGACCCTATTGCTAGAGGAGAAGGACGCATCACGTTGCAGATGCCAGGACCGCCTGCTGTACCGTCTCCCGCCTCGATTTTCGACCGTCCGGTTCCTGGAGCGTCACGACGTCCGCCGAATGGGATTCCACGCAGTCAAAGTAGCGACATGCTGCTAGGAAATGGCCGCAATATGAGCAACTTCAGTCGTTTACAGGAGCTCAGTAGTCGCGAACGTCTAGAGCAACTACAGCGTCAGGACAACTACATGAGCCGCTCCAGTAGCGACCACCGCATGCCCGACGCCTACATGTCTGCGCTGCAGCAAGCCAGTCGCGACAAACACGACTTTGACGCTCCTCCGATGTACCACGCTCCACCCAGCGACTTTGGTGCGTATGGTGCGACGTTGGCTGACCACGCGGTGATTCCGGACTTCGGGCCGTACGATGCGACGCTGGACGACCCGAACGCGCCGCCTCCGCTGGAAATGAGTGCGCTGACGACGTCTGCGTCGACTATTCCGATTGATCTAAACAGTATGAGCATGGCTGCCATGCCGCCCACTGCTCCTAGAGACGGCGGACGCGACCACGAACTGCGGCGTCAACGCGAACGTGAGATCGAGCAGCGACGTTCGTCGACTAGCTCGGACTCTTCTGCCAGCTCTATCGACATTGACACGTACGACGATCCACCGACTCGTGCTGTGGTTCCCCCAATTGCCGAGCAGAAACATGACGAGAGTATGGGACGTATGACGCAGCCGGTGCAAAGCTTCGTTGCTGCGATGGAAAACGACGTGAAAGCAGCGAATATCTACGACACGGACGAAGACTCAGAGACGTCTATGGGGGCGTCGGACGATGAAGAAGAGCGTCGTGTCAGCGCCAAGCTTTCCACGTTGTCCAGTGCTCTGGCTCGTAAGCCCGTCGATGATGATGTTGAGGAGACGAAAGCTCAGGAATTCGCTGAAACGCCTGCGCTGCCGCCTCCGTCGCCTTCGGCTCATACTGCTACACGTAATGTGCTAGAGCGCCCGTCCATTGCGAACTCGTTGGTAGGCTCGCAATTGGCGCCTCCCTTTACTGACAACACACAAGCCGTGGCTCCTAAGAAGACTGGGGTAGTTGAGGTAGACCTGATTGACCGCGATCAACAGCTGCAACGCTCGAAAGTGGAAGACTTGATCGATTATGAGTATGACCAGACGAATATAGCCAAGAAACGCGATGAACACGTATCGGAGACATCTCCAGGATGCGATGAAGATAAACAAGTGGATCGTTTGGCCAGGAAGTACTCGCTACACGGGCAGATGGAGGCTCCCACTGACGGACAGCAGTCTGAGTCGGACGATGAGGCGATCCTCAACACGGTGGGCTGCGATATGAACTACTTGGATGCCGACATGCGTCAGTTCCACGACCAATCACTCTTTATTCGTCAGAGCCATGACGGTGGTGCGTCCCAATCGAACGATGAGATGTCTCCGTACGAGCGCATGCCGACGTCTCCCAAGACCAAGAGTGGTAAAGCTTTAGATCTGGCGATACCCTCACGTCCTACTATCAATCGTGAAGGTACTTTCGCTCTCGAAAACATGTCGGTGGACGAACGGCAGCGATCCACGAACACTCGTGCTGGTTCTGCCAACCGCGTGGTGCTGGGCCCCAGTGAACTAAGCGACAAGAGTTCGCCCTCGACCACACGTACCGACGACCGCTTTGCTACTGGTGTGAGTCTCGTTTCAACTGCTGTAGACGGCGCTGCTGATGATTTGGCGTTCAAAGGAGCTCAACGTGGCTACGAAGTCCCTCGCGACAGGCTAGCGCCAGTAGAAGATGACTCGACACCTCCTGTTATTCCCATGTCGATGATGCTGGCGGCGGACACGCTGCAGACCAGCGGTGATGAGGTTTCAGAGAGCCGCGCTCGTGCATCCAGCAGAATCTCCTTCTCCTCGGTCCCTAGCAGCAGTGCACGTGGCAGCAGTATCTGTAGTATGGGTCTGGATGCGATAACGCCGCCGGCAACGCCACCGTCTGCCTCGCCTGTCGCTATTGAGAGGCTCTCAGCAACGTCAGCATCATCACCTGCTGCCTTGGACCTCGCAACTTCTACGTCTCCTAGCTTCAACGAGGCTATCATCCCGCCACGAAGCAACAGTACTGCGCCGGCGTATCTTCCTGATCGTTTCCGCGCGGCAGAGCAACAGACACCGCCTAAAGAGGAGCCGACCACCTCGACCGCTTCGAGTACGCCAAGACAGAGCACCGACAGCAGCTCCGCTCTGGACAACTTCCAGCTGAACTTCTCGGCTTCTTTCAATGCGCATCAGCAGCAGAAAGCACAAGCTGGTGGTGTCACCGAGGACGCTTCACGCTTGCAACAAGATGAGCGCAATCGGGCGAGCAGTGCCAGCAGCACGGGCAGCAACGACGTGCAGGTGTTCCGCTACCAGTCGGTTGGATCGTCAGTACTGGACACCGTCCCCGCCTCGGGTGTGTCAGAAGATGAGGATAGCGAGGACGAGAGTATGCTGCTGTCGGCACGCCAATTGTATGGACGGTTCGGCAACACGAAGCAACTGTCGAAACTTGGCGGCGATCGTCCTGGATTCCAGCACACACTCAGCCAAATCCAGCAAAGTTTCGACGAACTATCAAGTGACAGCGAGGACGAGGAGAAAACGCCTGCAACCCAAGTGGCCGGACGTCGGGGGTAGACTGCGGAGGGTCTGAGGGTGACAATTATCACAGGAAAGTCTGGTTCGTGTAAATGATCGTGTAGATGTCGTTCATAGGGTCCACCTTGCATCAGCAATATAGAGGATTTCGGCCCTTTTCTTTTAAAAAAAATTGTGCACAGCTACTGTAAGAGCACCGATGCTTTTGAGCATGTGACTTTTACCTATATCGTTTAAGACAAAACTGTGGTGGCCAAAGATGCAATTGTCACGATAATTGGGGACGAAGTCCCTTATAATAATGTTATAGCCTGATTTAGTTTGTTTTTACGACTACTCCTATTTACTTTCTACGGGGTATCTATTAATTATTGGAATGGGCTAAAGGTACAAATTATAATCATGTAAAAAAAAATGAAAAACCTCGATTTTTTAAAACATAATGATCATTAAGCCAAGGAACGATTGTCCAATTTTATTTGATTTGTAATTGAAGGCATCACCTTTCAAAGACATTAAAGTCAAGGGTCCTTTTTATTAAACAGGGAAATCACCACGTTATTGTGGTGGCCTAGGAAATGGCGTAAAAAATCACTTTTTATGATCAATTCGGAGGCTCTAGTAACCCTTTATTAGGGATAAGAAACTGCTATAGCTTATAAATCTAGTAAAAATTGGCGTTTGTAAGAAGTTCGGCGCCACGAACCGTTGCTGCGAGGCATAGCGGCACTGAATGTGTCTGCTGCGCGTGCGAGTCTGGTGCGCGCAGCCAGCACGCAGGCGGCTGCGATACCGGCCAATTTGTCGCTGGCCGAAGAGAAGCCAATGCCGCATGGCCTGAGGCCTTGTTAATCCTTGGCGTCGATGGCGATTGGCCTCGATACTCGATTCTATGTCGAGTAGTACACAGTCGCCATCACCCCTTTTTCCCCTTTGTGGCTCCGATGGATGGCGTTTGTGGTCTGAATCGGTTGTTGTATTATAATTAAGCTGCTTCTGCGAGAACATTTGACGTACTGGAATTTACTGTGGGGGTGGGAAATCGCATTTCAGTTAAGCAATAGAAGGAAGTGTGTAGATTAGCATTGATGTACTAGATGCTTCGACAGTATGCAGTGGTTTGTTTTGTCATAAGTAGGCTTCCGTCGTTCATAACATGAGCTAGTCGTTGGAATCGCTTGGGATAGCTAGTGCTGCTGTGGCAACGACGCGACTTTACTATTTGCTAATGAGAACTACACTCATCGTTGATCGTATATCCGGAAGGGTGACGCATCATCAAATTCATGGAAAAGGATGTTGGCGTAGCGACCTGCCTTGAAGAAGGTTGTCGTTTTATAGTAACTAATAAGTTATAAAGTCGCAGCCTTCGTGTGTTGCACAAGTGAAAATTCGTTGCCATACTTTCTAATTTGCTTGAAGGCGCTATAACATCCAACATGGCACACGGACTCACTGACTAGGTGGATGAATGTTAGAATGCACTTTAATTGGTCAAATATGTAGCCAATAGAAAATGCTCAAATACATATTGAATTGATTATGAGGAGGACTGGCCAACCAAGCAGTGGGTGCCTTCCAAAACCCATATAAAACAGTTTAATCGCAAATTTTTTATGAGTCCTTTAATCACCCTTTTATCACGGTGATGCGTTTTTATATCGGCATTTAGAAAAACCTACAACCAAAACCCCCTATTAAATAGTGTTTTGTCCCAAATTGGCTGTGTTTGAAGTTCAAAACATACTGTGTTGAGTAAAGGATGACGATCGTGACAGGTCATTATAGGACAAAAATAGCTCTACAATCTCTATTTATCAAGATTGCAAAAGATAGCTAAATGATTTGCACCCCCCCTTCCCTGCAACATCCTGATAGAAGATCTCGATAGAGAAGTTGCTATGAGCAGCGACGGAGCGGTATTAGTGCTCAGTGCTGCTATGCGGCGACGCGACAAACGTCGCAAACGGTACTCTCTACTCTTGAGTCGCCTGCGACGAAGCCTCCATGAAGAGAAGCTACGTATTGAGTGGCAGAGACTCGTACGAATGAGGCACTACGTAGCTCTCGACTGCTTAAAGCACCCCATGGAGTCCGACCGGATGCGATTGTGGCTTAACGGCACCGATGGGAACCTGATAACAAAGACGAGCTTATCTCGGTAAGATATATTTGTGTCTATCTACATAAACAGCGACCTGACAGTACAAAATGTGTATTTTGAATAGAGCTGCGTTCGAGATCCTATTAGAGCGTTTTGCGCTTTGTTTTGAGCTTCCTCAGTACTCTCCGCGTGGGGGAGACCCAGGAAGTTACAGCACCACCATCAGGTTCTGGGTCTGTTGTTGTCGTTTTACGTAGGTACCGTGAAAAGGGAATCGCGTTGCCTCATGTTTGCTGTGCCACCCTCCACACTCTCATGCGTGTTAAATGCTGCGGAGGACGCCATGTCTAGAGCTTTAAATGGCTTTGCACCTGCGCGAATTGTGTGGCCATCACCACTTCGACAAAAGGTTTTGGCAAAGTTAGTGGAAGCCCGCCAGCCGCTCTGGTCGATCACAGTGATCACGAGTCTCGTCACGAGCGAAGTCAAGAGACCGATTGATAGTAGTAGGCGCTACCATTCCGGGGCTAACACCTATTAAACACAAACACTAATCGGGTTAACGCGTACGCTTCTCTAAGACGATACTCCAAGAAGAAAATCATCACCTTGTAGCCGCACCTAGGAGCTTGAAGGCCATTGCGGAATTGTTCTGCTCATACCTGAGGGCCAATAGTACCATAGCACAAGTTAACAAGTTAATAAGGTCGAACAAACAATTCGGCGGGAGAATATGCCCTACTTACAACCACCGCGAGTCTGATTGTGCGGTAGGAGAATGATTTTGGAATGAAGTGAGGCCGCGGTAGGCGCGAAACTTCGCGCCTTCGAATCGTTTACGCTTTTCAACTTCAATTTTATGAAATGTGCTAGTTAGGGGAATCGCTTAATCATATACAAAACACAAATTACGTTTTAATTAGTTGCTAAATAGGGGTGCGTGATTAAAGCGGATAAAACGGGATAAAACGGGAAGTTTGGTGAGACGACTTTCTCGTCTCACCATATCACGAAGTTTTTATCATCGTTCAATCCACCCTAACCCCAGTGATTAAATTATTTATGAGGGCTTTGAAAGGCACCCAGTGGCTAATTCTCAGTTTTGCTTAGCTGAAATTGAGTAGTTTTGTGAAGCATGGGCTACAAAATTTTTATGACGATACTGGAATTATCGTACTAAAGTTTTTATCATTACTGAAACAAATATTCCATTCTAAAAAGCTCGTATTTTTTTAACTGCAATGTATCATTCGAAAGACATGATATCATCCGAGTCTAAATCGGAATCAGAGTCTCTGTGGACGCGAGGATATCGAGCATTTTGCTTACTTGAGGAAGTTGTCGTGATTCAGCGCTCTGGTAATCGTCTTTTTCCTTCTTCTTGACGGCGTAGCAGTCATCCGTATTGTGCGAGCTCGTCTTGTAGAAGGAACACCACTTGTCACTCTTGGACTTCCGCTCGGAGCCATCCCTGTACTTCTTACTGTCTTTATCATGACTCTTAAAGACGCTTTTCACTCCGTGTTGGTATTTGGTCCTACCATGATGTTGCCTCCCTTCCTTTTTCTCACGTGTCGAAAGTTGTTGCTCAGCCTTCTCGATGCGTGAGAAGTAGAGCACAAGCTCGCTGAGCTTGTCGTACACAATATCTGCAGCTACCAGCTTGTCTTGCCAAGCACGCGGCATTCCTCACTTAAGGTAGATACAATGCTGCACGGTTACCTCCGGTTGGGGTCATATACGGTACAGATCAGTTATTGGATCAAATATTCTTACTCTAATGGTGATCAGATAGCTCATTAAGATTAAGCAGCGTGTATCAATATCTCCTGGTTAGATATAACTACGACGAAGCTACCTACTCACTATTGCTCTTCCTCATTCACCTCGCCTAGACCAATCGGCTTCCGAAGAGCTGTCGGATGCCAGCTCAACTGCTGGAGGTTCCTCGTCCTCAGAATCATCAGCAATGTCATCCGGTATTTCAACGGGCGACGGTAGCTGTATGCGCTCGCGTGGTAAGTGGCGTGCCTGTCCGCGCGGAACATCAGCAAGGCGTTGAACATACTGCGCCGATAGTGTCTTGATAACACTAACGAAAGACGTCATACTAGGGCGGGGCTTAGGGAAATGGCTGTTGAGCTCCCTGTTAAACTTTTCTAAAGGGTTATTTGTCCGTGCGATGAGCTCGTTGTTTAGGCCGGCAACATTCCATACGCTCACGTCGTACGTTTCCAGCCACGTCCGATTAAAGTACCCCCAGAATCCTCGCCACTTCGCTTTAGAGTACGAAATCCCGACCACGCCACAGCGCTGGCGGATTTCACGCTTCACCCACTTGATAGCACGCTCCATTAAGCAGTGCTCAACAATGGTAAGCATGTCGACGACACCGCGGGTCATAGCAATACAACACTCCTCCTCCGGAATCAGAAACCGCTTCATAGCTCGTCTCAGAGCCTGCTTGAGATGAAATAGGCAGCCTAGGACAATTGCATTTGGAAATTGAGTCTGCACAGCATCAATCAGCGCGATCTCGAAGTCGCACACGACTTCGGCGGGCTCCAGTTGCTGGTCGGTACCTTGTACCACGAAATGTATCATGTCCCAAAAGGCATCACCACTACGAGAGGTGCTCAATACGTAGTAAACAGGTACAAACAGCCCCGAAGCTCTATCATGTACCATGAAAATGACACACGGTTTGTAGCCGGGTGGTACACAGCGGAATGTACCATCAATAAAAATCGTAGTTCCATTGTAGCGGAGAAGGTTGACGAGGTTTGGGTGCGCCCAGCCGATCAGCCGAGTAGGCTTGTTAAGGTTCTCGCGGTTGATAGTGACGTAATGAAACTGAAAGAACGAAACCGTTGCGTCCAACGCCAATGATAGAGGCGGGATTTCGATCGCTCCGTGTACATCTCCACTGAAATGCCTACTGCGTGCCTGATAAACACGTCGAAGCACTTGGGCCTCCGACAGCCCGCGCACAACGTGTTCATTGTCTGCGCCGTAAAATTCGTTGCGCAGCGCTTCCCAAATACGCCGCGCAGGAAGCGCAACCTGGTCGATAGCGAGCATGTCTGCCCGGTCCTTCATCGCTCCCGTGACATCAGCAAGGCTACTGCCAACAGCATCAACGCGGCGACAGGTGTGGGGGCGCCCAACTGTGTAGCCCATTGTACCAATGAAGAATGCCATCGTACCAAGACAGCCTTGGCGCCAATGACAGCAACGGTATGATATCTTTCTCGACGATGCCCACGCCCTAGTATACTTGAAGCCGCGAAAATAGCACGTGGTCTTCTCCTGGCGCACTTGGCCTCTGGGACGGCTTGACGACAACGTTGGTCACCCCAGCGCCGTCTGGAGGTTCGGTGTTCCCCGGGGGGAGACTGTGCAGGTGCCTGCATGTTACCAAATGAGCTCTTCTTCACAGGTGCCTCGCAGGGATCCCCGCTCTACGTGGCCTCTTTAAGGCCGTGAATTTTCAGATCTCGCATCAGATCATTGCGAAATCAACATATGTACAAAACTCTGATCTGTACCGTATATGACCCCAACCAGGTTTTACCTGCTGCACCTCGGGCACTTCTTCGGCGTTCAGTGGTACTTCTGCGAGCATACGGCCATATATCTTCGCACGATGGGAATAAATCCTGACGACTGTCTCATCGCGACGCTTCTCCCTGGTCCAGAGCTCGTTGTCCAAGTCTTCGCTGAAGTCTGCGGGAGCCGACAACTGATCCACGTCTGCAAAGAGCTCCTCGAAGTACTTGACCGTGGTGATGGCGTCAATGGCGGCTTGCTCGACTTCAGGCCCCAAATCCCCCTCGATGAGAGCAACGAGGTGGTGGGACTTTTGCTCGTCAGTTCACTACTTCTTGCAAACTAGACTGCAAAATGGACTGCTCCACTGGATCTAGTCTCGAGCTCGTCCTCCACGGAACTTTTGATCTTGATAAGCAATCTCCGCAGGAGTTGCCGCGGTCGCCGGTGTGACTACCACCGTGTTGGCTACTAGCCCAGTCTTGTTCAGCGCCCCATGCTTCATAAGGCGTTGGTTGATTGTCTTGAATCTCTTGTTTCCGATTTTTTTTCAATTTTGATATACCAAAAGGGCACGCCAGGGGCTTGCAGAGGGGTGTATCGCGTCCAAAGGCCCTGCAGGTGGGGAACTGCGGAGCTTGATGTAAGATGGAGAATAATAATAGATTTAGACTGCCTCGTGCTCTAACCTACTTTATCTAGCTCTTACCTTGAAAATCTGAGGTTCTTACTGGTGCAATCAGGTGTCTTCTGGACTTCCACAATAAGTGGATACGCGAGCGATTCCTTCCTTCGCAATTTAGCGGTCGAATCACCTGTATCAAGGCAACGATGGCCCTGATGAGACTTCAGCGAGCGGTGCGGCACTGGCACGTAGCTCTTCGGCTGGGCTTACGAAATAAAACTTATTCTAAATCCGTACAATCAACCCGTCCAAACGCTATACGCATTCGCGACTGTTTCGCGATTGGCTTTCCGACTAGATACCGATAATTTATGCAGCTACAGCACTGCGACCACAAGAAGGATATTGGTGGGACTCTTCACGCTGAAGTCTCTTCACTTCAGCGTAAAGACTCCCCGGGCAACATTTACGGAGATGAAATTATTTCTGCTTGTCGTAATTTACCGTGATGCTACGCTTGGCCGCCCGACACTTACCTGGGTCACAAAGGATACCAGATACAAGTATACTAGTACATCCCCAAACTACTTGATTAAAGTAGAGGAGCTGTTTCTCATACAAGCTGAAATGACACGTTATACAGGTGTATACATGTGAGTGCTGATGTAAGTTTTAAGAAGACAGCGTTAGTTGGGCTCTGAGTATAAAAGGCTAGAGTAGTTTTGGGTCGAAATGGATATAAAATCCAGTACCACATCGCCAAGCGAACGCCCATGCTCGACGTTTACGGGTAAGATTATTAGCAAAGCTCATAATTAGTGCAAAAAAGTAAAAATTACCCCAAGCTGATCCGTTGAATATTCCGTTTGTGAATGACCTGCCTCCATTAACTCCAAAGTGGTCCACCGGTGAGAGCTGTTAATAGCATTTCGGTCGAACAGCTCTACCTATTTGTACGCTGTCGCTTTTCCAATTGCCTCTTTATCACGTGGAAATCTGTTTTAAATAAAGCGCTGTCCTTGGAGTTCGCTTAGGGCAAAACTTCGTTTGCGGCCGGGCGAAGCGGTACACTGTACATGTCCGTAGTAAAAATTAACGGTGGTGCTGATAAACTCAAAACATTAAATGTATTCTGTTGTTTAAGGGAAGTATTTCTGTAGACTGCACTTCGAAGTTATCGTCTACTTTTTCTGGAAATTGAGAAACCGCATCGCCAAAAGTGTCAAAACTCGAATGAAAAGCACGATTCCGAACAAGATACCGCAGTTTCTCCAGATGTGTTCGTGCTTCATACTGAAGTTGACTTCAAAGTATTCCTTTACGATAATCCCTTCGCGCAACGATGGTGGCGCGTTCGACAACTCGTTGCATCCAATGGCACTGCTGCCTTCACTAGGGCAATCGCCAAACACAATAGTGCACAGCGCCGACATTGTGTAGGTGAACGGATTGATGTGGTAGATCCATTTGACGCCTGTAGGCAGCTCCGAGGCGGGGGGACTGAAGCCCGCGAACAAAAAGGTGAAGAGGCTCACGAGCATTCCCAGGATTTCCGCCACCTCCACATTCGGGGTCGCAAACACAACAAGCTCGGCGAGATACTCTTGGAACAGCACACCCAACGACAGAACGAGGTAGAAAGTGAAGAAAGCCTCAGCACCGGTGAAGCCCACAATTGGATAAAAGACTGCCATGAAGAGCAACACACCCGCGAAAGTGTACGGAATCTCGATGACACTTGAGCCGAAGAAGTACCAGAACGCGTTGTACGTTTGAGCCGCACGCTCGCGATAGAATGCCGAACGCTCCTTCGCCACGACTGGTACAAACCCGTTGAACGCGATGATCCCGATGAAACCAAGTGTGGAAACGACCATTCCCAATCCGGAATTGATGCCGGCGTACGTGCTGAAATCCGTGTCAAGATACGTGATGCCCGTGAGAAGACCCAGTCCAGTCCACACAACGAAACGCGTCAAGTTGTACGACGGTGTTCTCCAGTACATGTTGGTGAATCGAAGAAGCAGAAATCTCATTTGTGTGAGCTCCGTGGCAGCTCGTTTGTCGCCGTATTCGAGCGGTGGCAGGGAAGGTGACGGCCTGGACACACCCTCACAATCCATATCCGACTGTAGGCGCGCGTGGAGTGCGCTGGACTTGAAGATATGCACAAAGTCAGTCTTGTCACCGTTCACGTTGCCGACACCGGCACCAATCACGTCCAACATCCACGACGCCGGGTTGTAGTTGTCTCGCAACTTCTCCACTCCTTCGATCGACTCAAAGTACTTGATCATCTCGCTCGCATTCACGCCCAGTTCTCCCGCAAACACCGTCTCACCGCCACGTTTGAGCAGCAACATGCTGTCAAAGACTTGGAACACTTCAGCTGACGGCTGGTGAATAGTGCAAACTACCGTGCGACCGGTATCTGCCACCTTACGGACACCGTCCATGATCAACTTCGCCGACCGAGCATCCAACCCACTTGTAGGTTCATCCAAAAAGAGAACACTTGGCTGTGCTGCGAGCTCTACGCCGATCGTCAGTCTCTTCATCTGCTCCATGGAGCTGCCACGAATGATCTGGTCTGCAATTGGACTGAGTCCCAGTAGCTCCAAACAAGTGTCCACCGTGTCGTATTTGTAGCTTTCCGGCACATCCGCTCCTTGGCGTAGGAATGCACTGAACGTCAGCGCTTCACGGATCGTAGACGACTCGGAGTGAATGTCCATTTTCTCACAGTATCCCGTCGAGCGACGAATCGCGAGATCCGTAGCTGGGTGTCCGTTTAGTAGAATCTGTCCTTGAACCTTGCCACCCGTTTTGCGTCCGGCGATCACGTCCATCAGCGTTGTTTTACCTGCACCCGAAGACCCCATGAGTGCAGTAATAGTACCAGGACGGGCGTATCCGCTGATACCCTTGAGCAAATCGATGGTCTCTTTCGGGTTCGCTGGATCCGGAACTGTGTACCACAAGTCCTTGAACGCCACCGTCACTGGGACAAACCGGTCACTTGCTGCAGCCACGGGTAACACGACTTCAACATCTTTTTCCTGACTGCATGGCGTCTGCGCCAGAGAATAAGCATCCGACTTTGAGGGCTCAGGGATAGCTTCGATGGCCAGCACAATGTTCGCGGGTCTTTCATAGCGATGATACTCCAGAGCAACAAAGGCGCAGAAGAGAAAGAGGACGTAGGACGCCACCATAAAGACCATGCCATACCAAATCCAGTATCGCTCTGGTGGGACTTCGTATGTGCTTAGCGCGTACTCACTCATCTTCATGCCGTATCTAGCGCAGTAGTCGATACCGTCGAACACGCACGTATCAAAGCGGGACTCAGTGTACTGATTCACGGCCAGAGCTCGAACACCCCAGCCAACAGGGTTGATCCAGTAGAGCCAAATGAGATAATCCGGAATCTGGTCTTTCGTGATGGTAAAGCCAGCAAACAAGACGAAAAACTCGACTATCACACCAGACACGGGGTTGGCCACATTGACGTTGGGCGAGACACTTGACAAGAAGAAGAAGAAGGCGCCCATTGAGATGTTGATCAAGCACAGCGTCACCACAAAAAGTAGGAAGCTACCCGCCGAGCTCACAAAGCCGCACATCCAGTACACGATGGAGCTAAACACGACAGTCTCCAGTAAGATCGGAGGTATCTGACTGGCTGAGAAGGACAATACGTATGATGCAGTTCGGAAGAAATTGGCACTGCGTTGCTTGTAAAAGACCTCACGGGCAGCGATGATCATCGGGATCTGAGAAGCCAAAGCCAGTGACAAGCATAGCGTAGCCTCGAAGATGATACCCATGGCCAGCTGCGGATTAGCGGGGTCGAACTGGTAAAACACGCAGCCATACAACAGCGCCATGATCGTGTTCATAACTAGCCTCCCGACAAGACCCGACATCTCTCGACGCATCATGTTCACTTGTCGCTTCATGAGCAGTGAAGTACTATCCCAGAAGCTTCGGTAGAACTCTGGCTGAGCTTCAATATGAGTATTTTTGTTGTAAGCAAAACTGGAGCGAACTGAGTCCTCAACGTCTTTCAGTACGTGGGCGTACATAGAAGAGCGTTCGAAGGCCACAGCAAACTCGCGAGAAGAGCGAGGGACGTCGCTTCTCACTTCGTATTGGTCCTGCTCGTTGGTACCGAGATCCATCAAGAAGTCAGCCACATCACGTTGTGGAGGACGTTTGAAGCCAAGACCCTCGAAGTACCGCAACGCTTCTTCGCCAGGACCATGGTACATGACGCGACCTTCGTTCAGAATCATCACGTTGTCAAACAACGCAAACAGTTCAGGCGACGGCTGCAGCAGTGAGATCACCACTGTCTTGCGAAACTTCTTGGCGATACTGCGCTGCGTCGTGATGATGTCGAACGTCGCTGCACTGTCCAGACCGGTGCTGATCTCGTCCATCATCTTGACGTAAGCGTTGCCGAACTCCATCTCGCCAGTCGTCACCCGCTTGCGTTCGCCACCGGACACACCACGCAGCATTTCATCTCCCACGACGGTGTTCTGGCAATTGTCGAGTCCTAGTTGCTGGATCACGAGGTCCGGATAGTGCTGATACATCGCTCGAACCACCTTCAAAGCCTCCGCATTTTCCTCTGGGGTTCCGTGAACAAACTGTTTCTCCCAGTACTCGGCCAGATCCCCACCGCAACAAGCGTGCGCGAACTCAAGCGTCTCCTTCGCAGTCAACAAGGCGTAGTGCTCGTCGCGCTGAGGCACATACGATACCAACTGCGACAGTTGCTTGCGCACCTCCGATAACGGAGTCCCATTGTACGTCACGTCGCCCTCAATAGTGATGTTCTTCTCCTCCGGGAATCGGCCGCTGAGCAACTTCATCAAGGCAGACTTGCCCGATCCAGGTTGTCCCAGTACCAGCGTGATGGTACCCGGCTTGAAAACGCCACTAACATTAGTCAAGATCTCCTTCCTCACTGAATGTTTCTTGGCGATCACACCCCGGACGGCTTTCATCATCTCATTTGGCAGCGTGGGCAGAGTCGTCTTCAAGTCGTTCTTGTCCGTCACTGCGATGTCGGCCGAGATGGAAATTTCTTTGAAGCAAACTTCCAATTGCGGTAGCTGCTTGTTCATGGCCTTTTCCATTCGAGACGTCACGTGATCGTGTAGCTGTAGTGGCCCTCGAGCCATCAACGTCTTGGCATCATCGTACTCGATTACCGGGACAAGAGGGTCGCCTCTGTCGTCTGGATGCATACTCGTCCTCTTGAATTGCGTTGTAGTAGCAGTGGATGGAGGTCGTATGGAGTTTAACGCCAATTGAGAAGTGATGGAGCATAAGCTGCCGTCGGGATTAATCGCCGCTGATTATTGGACCCACTTGCGTCGCAGAGTGCGTCCATTATCATTTCGATTACGACTGGACCAATCATATCGACATGGTGATGATGGGACGCACTGTACATTATTCGTCCAGTCGAAGATTGCAAACATCGACGTCGACGCCAAAACGTTTACTCTTCAATGATGACATACGCGTTGCCTACGGATGCTTGTACCGTACCGTACACAAGTTGTAAGAATTTACTTTGAATTTATTAATTATAAAATGTAGCCATAGCTCGCTCAGAGATGCTGACCCCACCACCAATCTCACTGATGACCTTCAGTTTAAACTCATTGCTATAGATGCGTCTGCGACCGCTAGATTTGCGAATAGAGCCTCCGAGCTCAGTATTTTCAGCTTGACCACGTTCACAGCTATTAACTATCTCTGTTTCCGATAGCAACAAGGCCTCTACTGTAGATGTCCAGCAGCAGCATCTGCCAGTCTATTGGATAAAACAAATGTATGGTTCTAAGTTGGGTTAAAAAGAAGAACCTCGTGTCATATCATTTGACGCAATCAGTTGGCAATAGAATTACACACGTAATGACATTCATTCTGTACACCGTCAAATCTGCTACCGGTAGACGGATTTTGACGTGACGATATTCTGAACAACACGCCAAAAGGATGCAGCTCAAAGGACGTGGTTTGACCACGAAGTAAATCGTCTCGTGCCACAAGTTGTTTCCTCAGGAGAGACTGCAACTATTTTATTTCCGATCTGCTTCTAGTTTTGGACTTTCAGGAAAAACATTAATCTCTTGCCAGCCATCACCACACGCTATCGTACGAGCCGTCCAACTGACACAGAGAAATCCCATCATATATTCCGATCTAGCTTTTTTAATTGCTTCTTGGGGCCCAACAGAAGGACACTTGCTTTAGGTAGAATGCCTACAACTCGAATAATCTGACCGTCTGTGCGTTAACGGATGCAAATATTCAACCATTCCAGCTAATGAGCATCCGACAAAGGCCACACAAGAGCTCACAAGAAATCGTAATTTATCACCCGAATCGCGACGGGTCAATGGAGGGCCTCTGCTTATTCGTATTAACACCAAGTCTGGTCATGGAGCTGGGAAACCCACCACGTGACGTAACTTGAGCGATATCCGTGGTATTTCAAGTCCAGAATCTGCTGCAACGAGAAAAGATGCGAACTTTAAATATGTCACTTCCTTGTGATCTAAAGAGGTCGTAAAAGCTCGCAGATTTGTCTGTGCCAGGAAAATGAAGAAGGAAAAACCAAATTGTTGAATCGAAAGATTCTATTTTGCTGTCGATTCAAGTTTCAGCACAAGTGAAAGGCGTTTTAAGCGGAAATTCCAGTAATGCTACGTATTTTGATTGCACTGTATTGTCTTGTCTGGGGGTTCCCAAGCGAAATCTTGGTGTTTCCAGCCCCCTGTTGCTCGAATTTTTGCAAATGCGAAGTGACCTTGGAACTAAATGTGAGCTCATCGTTGAGTATGTGCTGCTGCTCTTTTCTATTGGTCGGTCATCTGCTGTATCCTCCACAGTAAGCAGTCAGAAAAATATTAACAAAGTAAAATCTCTTTTCCCAACCTGTCGTAATGAGAGTATCAGCTGCCGTCGTTGAGCTAATACTTTCCTCTTCTTCTTGAAAGCGGCATTTGATTTCTCCACCTCCTTGTGCCACTTTTGGTGAGTTCTTTGGCGTTCCTCCTCATTCCGCATTTTCTCAAGTTCATCCTGTTCAGGTGTTCGTTGAGCCTCTTCCTATCGAGATCAGTCAATTATGCTACCATAGGCAAGTCGTCGCACAGCGCAGCCCATAACAGCAAATACATCAGCTCACACTCGCTTGTATCTCCGCTGTGATGGCGGCAAACAGCCGCCGCTTGCGGCGCTTCTGAAGGTTCTTGCGGTTGGTGCGTGCGGGCATCAAAACCTGTCGTTAGACGTATTGTCTCTATTTTTAGCAATTATTATACTAAATCATAGGTTTGAGCAGTTGGCAACTGCCTTCTCTAAAGTTGAAGTGAACTTCATTCTCATTCCGCATTGGGCGCCCGCACTCGAGAGCGTCAGGGCGTCGACATACCCTGGTTTCTTCCTGTGCACCCGCCTGAAGGCAGCCTTCTCAATCTATATTACATACTACTGAAGTACATCGTTTCCTCTCTCTTCTTCACTTAATTCTAAAGGGAGTCGTGCTCTTGTCGCAGCTTGACACCGCCTAGAACCGGAGTAACCGCTCTGTGTGAACTAAGAGAGAATATACGATGTTTGAGAAGGTAGTGGAGTCGGTTTTGGAGGAGTATGTGAGCGAGTGGGTGGAAGGGCTTGACTCGGAGAAGATGAAGGTGGCGTTGTTCGCCGGTAAGGTCGAATTCCGAGACTTGAGGATGCGTGGTGCCGCGTTGGATAAGTTCCAGCTGCCCATGAAGATGAAGTCGGGTAGCGTAGGCAAGCTGAGCATCAAGGTGCCGTGGAAGAAGCTGACGTCGCAGGCTGTGAAGATCAAGATCGAAGACGTGTTTCTCGTTGTGGAACCCACAGAGCAGGACGAAGCGAGGAAGAACGAAGAAGATGACGATTCGTACTTACTTCGCACGCGTTGGGCGAAGCAACAAGAAGTGAGGATGCTAGAACTGTTGGAGAAGGTGAAGAATGATGGCAACTCGTCAAGTGCAAGTGATTATGAGGGAGATCCTGGAGCTGGAGATCCAGACCCGACTGCATCTTGGAGTTATCGCAAGAAGATACTCAACACCATCATGGACAACGTTTCGTTCGAGTTCACCAACATTCATATTCGCTACGAAGACTCGAAGCATCTTGCGTCATCGATTCCATTGGCACTTGGTCTTACGATTGACTCGATTGTGATTTCGACTACGAATGCTAACGGACAAGAAGAGTTCGTGGATCGTGCGCAGGCTCGCACTGCGTTTGTGCATCGGCGTTTAGAGATGGTGCAGGCTAGCGTGTATGGAGATCACATCGAATCCTCTAAAGTGAAGGTCGGGATGGGTCCTATGGCCTCGGGATCGAATATTATTCATCCTTTCAGTACTCGGATCAACCTGGCACGGAACCACGATGAGCGATCAGCAGCTACGATCCCTAAATTGCGATGCTCGGCGGAGATAAGCGCGATAAGAGCGTGCTTAAATCCAGAGCAAAGTACGTTTCTCATTGGGATCGCAGACTTCGTGTCTGCTCACGAAATGTACTTGAAGCGTCTGCATTTCCAGCGGAAGCGACCAACTGTTCGTGTTCGCTCGAATGCCAGACTTTGGTGGCAATACGCTTTGCGTGGTGTAATGGAACTACATACTAGTACAGCTAATCAGAAGATAATTACGACAACTGGAGCAAGCAGAAGCCCATCGCGGAAGGCAAGTGTTTCTACCCGGCGGTACGATTGGAAGCTATTCGTGACGCTCTGGTTCGCTCGGAAAGAGTATATTCATTTGCACAAGAACATGTTACGCGCTGCAAAGAAGAAAAAGCTGGCCATTGAGAGTTTGATGGCAGATCGAAATCGCCTTAACGAGCTGGAGGACAATTTGGAAGTGCCGACGATCGTCTTCTTCCGGTTGTGTGCAGCGCGGGAGCTTGAACTTGAAGGTCAAGGCAACGATTCCCCAAGAAAACTGTCGCAGTGGAAATCTAAGTGGTCGTCTGGGAGAACGTCAAGTGGCAGTTCAACTAGTGGAGCGTCGAATGGCCGAGACAATTTTCTCGAAAAGTTGGAGCTCTATGTTGGTGTGAATGATCGAATGCATTCATCATCAGAGGGTCGAACTTCGAGTTTTCACGAGGAACGGAATGTGGAGGCTTTGCTGATGGCTTTGGATTTAGTGGTGATAAGTTTTGAAGTTGTACTGGTGGAAGAGTACAAGGACGGAGACAAGTCAGACACCCGAGACTTCCTAAGGTTTGAACTCAACGAGTTTGTCGTGACTGTGCTGCAGCGAACTAGTTCTTGCACTGTATCATCACGAATCACGTCTATCCAGATTCTGGATTTCCGTCAAACTTACGAGGTAAAACACTTAGAGAAGAAAGAGCCGCAAGCGCTTCTCTCCATGATCGATACGATCACTCCTAACGGTCAAGTTGCGACGCGCAAGAATCCGTTCGTAGAATTGAACATCGAGTCGTCCGAGAATAAGTTCCAGCTTGATTGTAAGTTTGAGAGGTTCCGCTACATCCACAACTTATACGCGACATCAAAACTCCGCGCATATTTTATTCCTAGAACTGAGGATGTTGCGGCACCAGCTCGTGCTAAGGAGAAATCACCCTCACCACCAAAGTTGACACGGAAGGCAGCTGCACTTCCTGCTCAGTTGCTACGTAAGAAATCCCTCGAGAACGCATTTGGAGCCCCTGAAATTACAAAACCGCGTCGAAGTAGCAGCGTGAGGGCTCGAGCCATTCCAACCAGAGAGATTGCGTTTTCAGTCATACTACCGGAGATCGACGTTTTTGTTCATACAACGGATGCCTCTGCTGAAGTTGAAGCGCGATTGCTTGGAACCCATTTCCAGAATGGAGTTGCACACAACACGTTTGAGCTATCAATCCAAGGTGCCGAGACCTACTTCCTAGAGCCACATACCTCAGCCAGTTCGGATGGAAAACGTGAAGGAAGCAACGAATTTGACGCTGGAGGGCGAAAGCGCTCCACTTTGATGCAAAGTACGAGCCTGGTATTCTATGGGCAGAAGCTTGTGGAAGGATATCTGGTACCGAAGTGGGAAATGAAGTGCACGTCCCCTCCCATCCAGTTTTCGATGTCCAGCAAGCAATACCAGCAGCTTCTGCAGGCATCGGCAGAATGGCAAGGGCCCAGTCATAAAAACGAAACGATGAAGTCTGGTAAAGCTACTTTGTTTGTAGCCGAAGATGAGCGTCTCAATGTCGGCATTTCGATCCCTCAAATATTAATTGACTTTAATGGCGAAGGTCCTATCCAGGAAGCATTGAGCGCGGCATCAACAGAGTTAGAGGAACTCACGGGGTTTGAGTTAGATATACGAGACCTAAATGTGATGGCAAGATTTTCGTCGGTTGCTCAAGCTGCTGCAGTGGACATGAGCGCGTTGTCGTTCGTAAAGCGCGAAAGGCCGAAATTGCCGGAGGGAGCTGCTAGGTCAGATCCCGTTACTATAGGGGAGTCTGAAGCCGTAAACTCATCGATTCCTACGCCACTAACAACGGCATCTGACACAGTCTCTGCAGCGTACGATCCGACAACAGGAAATCGTATTTGCAAGTTGCTTGAGCTTCGCGGGAAGACGAGTATCATGGTGTCTAGTTTCGAACCACTGATGGGCGAAGTCAAAATTGAGCAAGCGGCTCTGTACTGGGATCACGAGCTGCTTGTCGCACTTGTACGTTATCACTCCAAGTCTTTGATCGGCAAGCAGAGTAAAGCTGTCGTACGTCCGGATTCAGCTGATCCTGCGCTCACACCCATGACTCGTTTTGCTTTTCAAGTTCGAGTCCAGCGATGGTTTGCTTTTTTCATGCCGAAAGCATGTCGCCAGGAACAGATTTCGTTTACGCTTCGTGGAACTGATCTACGCTTGGATATTTCAACTTTTGACACCGAATACGCGTGTGTTAAGCTGGATAGTTCAGGCGAGATTCAACTCATATCAACTCGGCTGAATCGAGTCAAGTCTGAAAATGATATCGAGGGTGAAGGAGCTCGTATTGAATCTCGCTCTGAGGAAACACACGTTCTTCTTCGAGCACAGGCTCCCGTAACAGTGACGCTAGAGTCGGCTGGTTTTGGATCGCTAAAACACCGTGGTGGAGCTGCAGCCCACTACAGAATCGAAGGGGAGGAGATGCAGGTGAACTATTTGCACTCGTACTGGTCTCTGTTCCTGAATCATATCACAAAAGAAATTGCTGGTTTTTCGCGGTGGACAGACTTGCTCAGGATGCCAGCAGGATTGCAAACACTAAATGAACGACTAAATCTCGAGATGGAAATAGCCCATGTGAGTTTGTTATTACCCACATGTGAGAGTGAGGGAAAGCACAAAACACCATCGGATCATATCGAACTCGACATTCGCGACATTTCGTCCTCATCACGAGCCTATCCGGATGATACGACACTTGAACAACTCGGCGTTCAAGTAAGAACGCTGCAGGTGATTGCAGTGATGATTGAACCAAAGAATCCGAATCAAATGACTACCGATGAGGAGACAATTAAAGACGAAGCCCCAGTCCGTAATTTCTCTCTTGGACAATTTAGTGACGTGTTTATTGAGCATGTGGCCGTTCCGCTTGTATCTTCTTGCAAAGGAGTAGCCAAGGATGATGAAGGATGCGAGGATTCTTCGCTACTCGACATCATGACTGTTTTGGAAGAATTGGAGAAGATGCGCAGTCACATAAAGGTGTCTTTGTCATCATCTAGCAACTGGTTAAACTCTGCTGCTTCTACCAAAAAGGATAACGATGCTGCGGATGGTACATCGCGTTTGGCATTGAATCCGTACCAGATCGAGCTGCTGTCGCGTATTCTCGACAACAATTTTGCGAGCCTTCCACCCCCTGTATGTCGCAATTTCAACGACGCCGATGACCTGAAAGTCTTGGACATGGCCTTTGTTCTGGGAGATTTAGCTCTAGATCTTCTTGACCCCTTTGACTCACCCATTGACAATAGCAATGGCGACAGGCCGTCAAGTGGCACGACAATAGCTCGGATTTCCCTCGAGCAATTTAAGATAGCACTGGACGGTTTTGCATCTCTACGATCTCAAGTTCGTGCTTCATCATGCAAGGGTGCGCTTTGGAAGGTTGATTACAGTGAAGACGAGACACCTGACGATGCTGCAAGCGAAGTGAAATCTGAAGTGCAAACACTTTGTGGCAGTATTTTCTCGTCATCAATGGATGATGTAACGAAGCAAGGAATCGACATTGTAGTGGATCAGCGTGTTCCTTCATCTGACATCGCGGCTCATCCTAAAGATGTTCGCATCCATTTGGATGCATGCGAGCTTCTACCCGAAATCGTAGAATTTGGACAAAGGATCAGATACTTCGCCTCCATCGAATCTGAGCTGTCGGATAAAATTGACCGCGCTGACAGCTCTTTGAATGTGTCTATTACAACTGGAATTGTTTATTACTTGGCTGCAGAATGTGTTCCCAACCACGTGGACGAGTATGGAGCTGAAGACGAAGTCTCTCGTCGACTGTATCCCCACGACGCGACGTTAAAAATGATTGCTAGTGGGTGTATCGTTGGACGGTATCACAGTGACGATCCTGATAATTCAAAAACTCAAGTGTATGGGCGTAACATGTCGGTAAAGGTGAGCTCGGAATGGCCCCCAGACCCAGCAGTGTTGATCGCGCCAGTTCCTACAAGTCCACAGTCAGACTCGCCCACCAAAAATGAAGAGCCTGGGGCTATTCAACCTCAGACAAAATATGAGCGCATTGTGTGTGACGACTTCACGATCGATGTCGAACTGGTCACTGCAGAAGACGCTGAGGCAACCATAGCCATCAACCTGACTCATTTCCACGCTGTTATCTGCACTGTTGATCTATTTCTCTTCAGTCAAGCCAAAAACGTGCTAGGAGCGGATGACGACGTCAGTGATGGCAGCACTAAGCGAGAAGAGACCGAAGAAGATGGAAGCTCGGAAGAAGGAGAAGCTGACGCTGATTCTAAACCTGTGGAATCCCAACAAAGATCACTCGCGCCGCCAGAAATTGAGTTCCGCGAGGATAGTATCAGTATGGTTCAGCTGCTACTTGAAGATACAAGTATCACGCTTCTTCGACAAAGTGGGCCCCACTTGTCACCAATAGCGCGTCTTTATACCTTCCGCGCAATGTGCAAGGTGACCTACGAAGTAGGAGAACGAATCGATGGGGTTGTTCCGACATTAACAGAGGTAGTAGTGGAGTTCCCTGATGAGAGTCTGAACGAGCCAAATGCCGACGATGGAGTAAGTATTTGGGGTTTTAACACAGCTCTAGGTTCGTGGGAACCGATGGTGGAGCCGTGGATGTTTGATCTTAAAGGCTCTTTAATTCGCGATGAAACAGGAGAGGTGACTGCAAATCTGGATTTCACTGGGAAGGAAGGCCATCCTCTCAACGTCAATATGTCTCCGGCGCTGATTGATTCACTTTGCTTGACGGTGAAAGCTTACGATGGAGCTTTACATAGCGCACAAGTTCCTTATGTATCGCCGTCTAACGTCATTTCATCCGATTGCTACTTGGTGAACGATACAGGGGCATCAATTACGTACTGGGTCACTCACGATATAGGAAATGCGTCGAGAGGATTCACTTATGCGTCTCGCCGGAAACCTAAGCGTGAGTTACTCTCCAACCGAGCTAAAGTCGCTCTTGAGCTGTCCACGTCTATTTCTCCATCGCTACGTGCTGAACAAACGGTGTCTTTCTGCTGGGATGATAACGAATGGCATCCGTTGACTGACATTCCGATCCGCAATACTGGCAAATACATCTATGGCGTTCGACCTCGACGTTTCGTTGGAGACGGCGCACTAGACAGCAATACGCAGGAGAGTGTACAGCCTCTCGACACTGAGCCTTCACCTATCCCACGACCACAACTTCTACATATCCTTCTTGACGTCTCAGCTGCGTCTGGATGCCGAACATTCACAATATCGTCATTAGTTCGTCTATTCAACGAAACGAACATTGCAGTCGATTACGGCGTTCTTGAAGCTGACGGAAAAACGATCACGGAGATCGGTACAATCGAGCCTAAAGGCGCATGCAGCGTCCCATTCCGCTTCGTTCAGCAGATTTGGTCTGTGAGAGTGTTCATGAAGCCACATCTCTACCACTCGCCTGCTCAGTTGAAAAATAACTCCAAACTCTCAGCTGAACCTCCGTCGGCTAATAGAGTTCATCGATGGAGTAACGAGCTATTTATTAGCGAGAGAGAAAACAGCACACTACACACCGCGTCGTGCTCGCTTGTTCTCGACGACTACGCTTGCAAGTGCCAGAAGATGTTTGACGGAACAGTACCATTCCATCCTACTGAAATCTGCAAGGCCAACGGAAGCTTTTTCCACGCTCACAGTCGCGTCTTCACGTCGTCCAATGCTAGCAGTCTTCAATATGCTCAGTTGAAACTGATGTCTCCACTAACGCTAGTCAACAACTGCGGCGTTCCGATTGTTGCGGTGCTGTTCACACTCAAAAAGGTTCGACGTACGGCAGGGGCTTGCGAAGAAGCTCATATGGTATCGTCGCAGGTCGTTCCTCCACGTGGTCGAGTAGATACGCTGTCGTGTGCTCTCCACGACGAGACATACTGCTCGATTTCCATGACAGGCTCCAGTTGGAGTCGTCTTTTCCGTATTCCAAGCCTCTTGGATTCGACCGAAGAAACAACGAAAACAACTACACCAACAGCAGCTCTCAAGGCGATTTCATCACTACCGTTGAAGCCCAGAAGTGACAAGAACGTGGTGTTATCTCTGCTGGATTTTCAGTCCAGAACCGCTACGTTGCATGTATCATTTGACAGCAAAGAAACTCGTGAACGCAACGCGGGACACTTCATGATCGTGCAACCACGCTTTTTACTGCGAAATGCTACATCACTTCCGCTTATCTTTTCCCCTCAAGTGAAGTTGATCGAGAAGATTCCTGGTACAAAGTCGATGATGGCGCGGTTTGCCAAGTCTCCATTCTCTCCATCTAGGAAGAAGCAGAAAGATGAATGTTGCAGATCAGCAGAAATGGAGGCTATACACGCAAAGCTGAATGCGCTTCAAGACCAAAAGGTGTCAGAAGATGCTATTGACGAGGACGAGCTGCAAGCACATTATTATTCTGAGGTCAGTGCGATCATGGTACAACTGGAAGGTAACACTCTACAGTCGTCAAGCGCACAGGATATCAGTCTTGAGGTTGGAGCCAACACTTCGCTACGTGTCTACAATGAGGCCACGAAGCGTTATCATGATGTCGTGGCTCTCTTTAAACAAGTAGGGGGGTCAAGATCCATGGAGGTGACGTTTGTCGAGCGGTATCTACTGCTAAACCAAACACATCATGTGCTTTTAGCGTCTGCAGTATCCGACATTGCTGCTAAGAAAGGAGCTGGAGATGACAAGAAAGTTCTAGCTGCACCACCACGCTCCTCGTCCGAGTTCAGTTGGTGGACGCATTCTTCCGTACCTTCGGACACGTGCATTCGACTGAAAGTCCAGCGTCCAAGTGGTGATGACAAGCAAGTCGAAGACTACCAATGGAGTGGCAAGTTTTCCTTACACGACGTCAGCGAGACAGCGTTGAAGGTCAGCACTCCGGATGCTTCTAGAATTTGTGTATTACGCGTCCAAGTTCGCGTGGAGGCAACTGTACAAGTCTGCGTTGTGGTGACAAGCGAGGATGTTGCGGAGTTCCCGCTGTATCGAATTAATAACTCGTGTGCACGGGAAACTATCTGGTTTAAGCAGATTTTCGATGGCGTCAAGAAGGACGCATCAGCTTTCCAACGTGGCGTGATGCAGTGTGTAGCGCCAGGTGAAAGCGTGTGTTTTGGGTGGGATGAAGCTTTCTTCTTAGGTACTCCGAACCGTGAGATAAGTGTCTGGTATGCACCAAAAGATGGCACGACCTCTTCGGATTATCATAGCTCAATTCTTCTAGATCAACCAGGAGAATCGCAGCAAGTGGAGATCCCATCCAAAGACGCTCTCCCGAAGGCACCAAGTCGAGTGTATGTGCGCTGGCATCTCCAAGGTGTTACCAAGACGATGGTAGCGCAAGACGTGCCTCTTAATCGGAAGGAACGAGCAGGTAAACAGACTCGAGAACTGGTAGCAGCACATGGTGAGATGCAGAGATCCACATCACCAGGCTTCACATCTGAGGTGGTGGCGCACTTCCGCTTGCCACATTTTGGAGTCTCGCTTGTGACCAGTACACCTGATGAACTCCTGCTCTTCTCTGGTCAAGATGTGGATATCGCGTATGCTAATATCAACAATGATCACGATCAGTGTGAAGTGAAAATCGGGTGCTTCCAGCTCGACAATCAACTAAGTGACGCGATTTATCCTGTTGTGATCGCTCCAATCCTGAAGAAAGGTAGCGGGTGTGCTGGATTCCGAGATGAAGCCTCATCGTCTTCACCTGACAAACTGAAAAGTGCTGAGGTTCGCTCAGCTCATGGTACGGATTCATCGAGTGGGGATGAAGGTGAGAACGGAGTGAAAATTGGCTCACGTGCACCTGTTATTCGACCGCATTTCTTCCATCTCTCGATTTTGCGACTCAGCTACGATGCCAACATGGACTACATCAAGTACTTTTCAGCAATGATGCAGCCCGCTAGGATTCAGATCGACGAAGCTTTCTTGCTTGCTCTTGCATCATTTGTCACGGATTGTTCAGCTACGTTGGAGAGGAATTATCCACCCGAACGACGACGTCTTACCAGTGAGGCATCAAAGGTGCAAGCAACGTCCGACAAGAGGTTCAAGCCAAACTCGGAGCGCAGAATTTACATTGAAACACTGCAACTTCATCCCGTCAAGATCCAGCTGAGTGTCACGACTCTAAACCATTATGGCGAAACCGAAGAGTCCGCGACAGGGCTGGCCTCGCTGGTTAAACTCCCGCTTGCAGTCACGAAAGCTTTGCTGAGCTCCACATTCTCCCAGATCGACAGTGCTACACTGTACTTGAATGCTCTCCACCTCAATCATGCGTTCGCGTCTGGGGCCTTCTTGATGTCGACGGTGCAGCAACACTACATGTTGCAAGGAATGCGTCAGATTTACTCTTTAATCGGCGCCGCAGACATCTTGGGTAACCCAGTGGGTCTGGTGACCAACCTTGGTGTAGGAGTAAAGGATTTCTTCTACGAACCTGCCGCAGGACTTGTTACCTCGCCACAAGAGTTTGTCTTGGGACTCTCTCGTGGAACAACCAGCCTCTTCACTCACTCGTTGTACGGAGCTTTCAACGCTGCCAGTAAAGTCACAGGCACTCTGTCAGAAGGTATCGCTACCTTATCACTAGATCGTAAATATCTCGCCGAACGTAGAGCTCAAGGACCACGGAAGCAAGTAGCCACACATATTGGGACGGGGTTGATTCACGGTACGAAGCAGCTTGGTAAGGGTATCTTCGCAGGTGTTACGGGTGTCATTACCGCTCCAGCTCAAGGAGCGATGCAAGGAGGTCTTCCAGGATTTATCGAGGGGGTTGGCAAGGGTTTAATCGGTGTAGCAGTCAAACCTGCAGCCGGCGTACTGGATCTAGCAGCCACGACAGCAGCAGGCATCACTGCTACAACGTCAGCATTAGATCGTCGCACAGGCTTGGGCAAAGAAGTCTATCGTCGTCGTGAGCCTCGACTACTTCGTGTGACGAGTGATCAACGAGTTCGAGTGTATACTTCTGCAGACGCGCTGGTATCTCGGTTGCTGCTGACGTTGCCGATGAAATTTAAGTTGCAGCTTCCCAACGAACTGTACGATACGCACATCTTCCTGCCTGGCGCGCGTATTCTAGTGGCTACATCTTTGCGTCTTCTTCTGCTTGAATTTGCGTCCGGAGGAACTTTAGCAACGCTGACGACGGCAATCATGTCGTCGACGTCGATTCCTCCTCCCTCGGTACTCTGGAGTCATCCTTTGTCGAAGCTGGTAGGCGCTCAGCGTACGCCAACAGGTATTGCCGTGCATATGGGGGCAAACGCTTTTGATGCTGAGCTTGCAGGCGCAGATGCACCTGGCAAAGCGAAGGACGATGTAGCAACGTCGATACTTTCGGATCTGGAGGAATTGGGGGCCGCAGGTACTGATCGTGTGCAGGCGTTTCTCACTGACCTGGTCGTCCGACACCAGCGAGCTACTGCTACAAGCTACGGCACTGAGTAAATACGATAAATATTTGAATTCGGAAAAACTGGCTGGTGGATTCGTAATGGCATGGCAATCTTGGCGTGGCTGACATTTTTAGTGTGGTTATTGGGCTATAGACAAATACATAAAGAGAAGGAGCCACGCGAGGCACACAAACTTGTCGGCGAATGATCATCCGTCAGTTTAAAAAAAGAGGTTTCCCTACGTCTGCGCTGGAGGAACGTATCCATGCTTGGTTGCGTACGACTGAGCCATCTACTCATCACAATCCAAGCAATTAGTCTAAAGATAAAACAAGTCGTATGATGGTAGCTATGATCGTACCTTAGCCATGAATTCCGGGTGTTCCTCGGCCTCATGGAGCACGAATGCTCCAGCCTTAGCCGCGATACCTTCATGTTGACGCAGCAATGTCTCCGTCTCCTCGGCAGCAGGACGGTACGTAACAGTTGGGTCCATGTCCATATCAAGCGTTCCTTCACGGAACTGCGGGTGGAAGAGCATAATGAGCAGACTCAAAATGGCATTGCTGCACATTAGAAAGCCCACAAAGTAGGGCAGCGAGCCTTCCATGCCGAAGTCCATGAAGCCCACGATAAAAATGAAGGCAGTCCGACCACGGTATGTGAAAAGGAAGCCAAATTGCTGGCGGATCCAAGGCTCCATGTGCTTGAAGCGACACTCGAACGCAAGCAACAGTAAAGCAAAAATGCTGAATTAAGAAATGGAAAGAGTTAGAAACTTTCATAAGGATATGACGATACTTTGACACTCACATGGCGTAGACGGAGATAAGGAAACACGTGATGTCCAGTACTACGAGGTTGAAGAGCCCCATGAATCCTGCGAGCGCTTGTAGAACCGCCAGCACTACGTTGGCATAGCGCAGGTAGCGCATGAGCGTGGCAGCCTCCATCATCTTCATCCTTTAGAAATGTCAAGTTGCCATCAGCATTTGATTTGATTAGCAATTAACTCATTTTTGTATGAGACCCACTTTTGCCAGTATGTAGCAGGTGTCGACAGATTTGAGAGCGACGTGAAGCCGCTGACGTTGCCAATCTCCTGCTGACGGATGCTGCCGGGGTTGCCGGCATTGCCCACTGCCGCCTGCTGCGGGTTCAACGGCGCGCGCAACAGTCGCTCCTGCGTGTCGTTCTCGTTGGAGCCGAACATGGAGCAAGGAGATAGATTGGGTCGACTTTTTGAAGATGAGTAATTTCGGAAACCTTTTATTCTAAAATAAATTTTTGGCGATAAATCTGCCATTTTTATGCCAAAAGTGGCAAAGTGATTCCCAAAACTATTCTTTAAATCTCTTATTTTCGAAGCATGTCTGTAAAAAAAAAAAACATCGCGAGAGAGTTGTCATCATAATCTGCAAAGCCTATATTTCTGAACCAATCACGGCAGGCACAAGAAGATAACTTGACAAGCTCAGAAAAAAATTGTCGTAAAACTGTCAATAATTAGCGATGTTACGTATGGCGGGGTGCTGAGGGAAATTGGTGAGTGGAGTGACCGCATAAAAAGGCGGATAGCTCGAAGAATAATAAATATATTGAGACACCACTTGCAAAGCCGAAACGCTGAGCTTTTTTTAATTTTTTTACTTGAAAGTCTACGGGTTTGATTTGCCTACAAGCTAAATAGGGCAGAATGTTCGGTTGGCTCTGTTGCCAGCTAAGTAGCCTTTTTAATACGAATTTCACTATGTCACGCTTGCTAGTTCGTGAACATTGTAAAGCTCTAGGGCTAGGGTAAATATAACCCGACTTAAGTGATATTGACGAACACACTGTATTTTGGTGAGTTCATCAGCTGCTACAGTCTAAACCCATGCCTGCATTACTACTGACGGCTCAACCACTTGCACCACTGGCACCACAGACATAACATTACCACAGGCCACAAAACTAAGGTGGAAGTGAATCTTAATTTGCTTGTGCCACACATTTGTTTTAGAGCCTTGAGCCACAATTACTTGCTTGTGCTCTTATATAGTCTTAAAAGCAGCGTCGACAACATTAAAAATGCGAGCAGTACCCATACGATGATCGATGATGGCCTTGGCCAACCAAGAGAAAAAAAACGGACAGATGTTTCTCTTCAATCTCGTTATGTGAATTCGAAATAGCCTGTGAAGCTCTCAGTGTTAGCGAGAGTTATCGCTCCGAGAAGCGACGAAGCCAACTTTACCCTACCAATAGCCCACTCACGAGCTGAGCCACTTGTTGTGCATTTTCAAGGAGCTCGCGGCGACTGACAGTGTGTCTAACTTGCTGCCCTTCTAACAACCAGTCCCGTGGACTGTCTTCAGCATCACGCGGTAGCAGAGGCGGAGGACCTCAACGCTTCGGCTCTCGTTGGGCTCCTTTGCGGGTAGCTTCCACATACGCCTTGAGCGTACTATACGATATGTTGGTCTATTCACTTGCTGTCTTCATGGAGGCCCTTGAGATAACAGCAGCCACAACAGCACCTCGATCCTCGTCACTATATTGGGCACGACGTGGAACCATTGGTGCTGGAGCTCGTGAAGGCGACATGACTTTTTCTTGAATGGCGCGAAATTGGACTGGTCCGTACCAAAATTTATCGGACCGGATGACCTTATCGGACCTGTACCAAAACTAGGGTACGCTAAATCAAACCCCTCAAAACCAATTTATTAGTTTATGGATTAGATATTGTGGCCCACACTCTAAACACTATTATTTTACAGAAGGCGGGGAGGGAGATGGCGAGGGGCGATAACGGCGGCGGCAAGTGTGACAGGAGGGTGGCGACGACGGCATGCAGCAGGAGGGTGGCGGCGGCGACAAGAGGGGCGGCAGCAAGGACAGGAAGGAGCTTAAAGACGGAAGAAGCGAAGGGGATATCAGGATTGGGCGGAGCGTCAAGGGCTGTGATGTCCTCCCGGGCAGGGCGGGCGGCAGGCTGCCCGTTGGGTGCGTGCCTTCATGTGGCACCTCGAAGGGCGGACTCCGGTGGTCTCGTCAGGCCATCTAGCTACCAGCAGCAAGGATGCCACCGTCAGACCCCGTGCAGACCCCACGAGAGCTATTGCCCCACCCGGCAGGAAGGGAAGCATGCTGCCGGCTGGTAGCCCCCGGGGCACTAAGTCCAGATGCCTGTCCCAGCCGCTGGTCGTGTCGATGTAGCGCTAGATGCTAATAGTTGTTGTGTGTGGCTAGCGAGCGTTAAATAATGTAAAGTATATCGAAGTCATTAACGCAAATTATCAATGTCTCTTTAAAAACGGGTACAATAATAAGTATACGCGATGTAGAAGTTACAGTTGTAGCTACTACGTCGCGTCATCACACAGGCTCTTAATCATGTCGCCATTTAAGCGCTTTCAAGAAATTGCTACGGTATAAATACAACAAATTTCAAAAGCGCTTATGGAGTCATTTGTACTGAAATGATTACGCCGGTCGGATAAAATGAAAATATGCGTGTGATACGCCGACATCTTAATATTTGTAAGGGGATACACATATTTTTCGTGCCCCTCGGACCTAATACGTCCGATGTGGAGTTTAGATTACCAGCCTAACCCTTGAGGAATTGATTGGCCAAGACTGACATCTTATTTGGATATGATTGGTTATCCTAAACAAATAAATATATGATTGGTCATTAAAACGGATAATAAACTTAAGTGAGGTCCGATAAGTGATGATATTTATCCATATATCAATTTAGGTCCCCAAAACCCGGCTGGTTAAATTTTGATCAATTATCGGATGGATACATCAACGGTATTGGTAGAAGAACCTTGGGCTACTAAACTGGAAATTTCATTTAGATGTCTGGTTTGACTTTGTTTAGAAATGGGGGTTTTCATGTTAATATTATCACGGTTAGTGAAATTAATGACTTATGATTGGGCTGAAGTATGTATATTTGGACCACATAAAACCTGAATGGTCATTAGAAGGAGGACCAGAGATGTGGTTAGAAGGGTTGAGATTTGCCCGCTGTAGGGGCTCCCACGGGCAAAAACTAACGCTTCTAGCCCGGTATTCTGTATCGTACAGAATAAAAGATTTAGCAGGATTTTGTATCTAGCTAACTTGGCTATAAACGTTAAATTCGCATATGATGTTTTGTAAATGAGGATTTTGCACATCATTAGTATTGGATTGGCGAAGGGAAGATACACGGGGATTCCTTAACGCGAATAAAAAGAGCACAATTAACTTAGTGGAAGTTTGAAAATTCAAGCTTTAGCCATAAACGACCGCGTGTCAGCCATTCCGTCGTTGCCTCAAATACAGATATATCATGAAACGATGTGCATCCCGGGCGAGATTGAGCTCACGCAGCTGTGGAGAGAATTATGCAAGGACGGATGCAAGCACACGCGCATGGCCCAGCACCACCACTACGTAAACCAGGGATCAAGGGCCGGCTGGACGAGTCACGACGCGCCATCAGCGTTTTCAAGGGTGCGTAATTGAAACTTAACATGCTTTGGTGCCTCCTACTAACGAAAATGCAATATCCAAGCGAAGCTGAGCTCATGACGTTTGGGCGCGCATCCGGTCGCCTCCAGCTTCCACCTCCAAGCTTGAGTAGTACATATAATCGTCGTCCGATCGGAAAGCAGGCGTCGTACGAAGCTATTAGTCGGCAACTATCATGTAGTGGTCCCTCAGCGCCTACGGCGTCAAGCTCACCCCTTTTGGCGTCTACGGCGACAAGCACACTTCCTATGGCGTCTCCTGTACCAGCGAGAGTGAATAAAGCTGATGAAACAGACGCTTCACGGAGTTTGCACGCTTAAACGACCGCTCTTTTACTGGAGCTACATACCAGTCCAGAGGTACAGATATTTTTGGCGGGCGGTACTACGGATGATACAGAGCGATACCGAGTGGAAGTATTGTTCATGAAAATACAGATCAAGCTAGCGGTGAAGCACGGATTGCGCCGAATGGTACGAAATATGATGGAGGGTATAACAGCCCTGCTCAGGATGATATAGAGCAAGGTGGGGCGGGGAAAGTTGCTGCTCTTGATTAACAGAATGACATACTCCACAGAATACGACAGATGCTGAAGAAGCTAAGGGCGAGAGTGACACCCTCCTAATTATCGAGTTGATTTGGAGGTGTTTGATAGTGACGACTCATGGAGGGACTCAAACGAGAGCGGCTGTTTGAACCAACGGATGCTCACGACGTGAGCGCAGTGTCCAGTGATGCTAGCATTTAGAATTCGACGTTGATGAAAAAGACGTAATTGAAAACAACGAGGTGGTTCCAGAAGTAGTATATATATGACATTGTAGACGAGCCATTGAATGATGACATTTCCAACGAGAGCTTTTTGATCCGACAATCGATTATCTCCGTGACATTGCGGATAATAGATGGGTTACGTATGGAGGACCATATGGTAAGCTGTATGATACAAAATTGCGTTTGTAACAATAATAGTATAAGTGAATATTCTTCTCATCTAGCAAGCATCACAAACGCAGGCAGTACCTTAGCAAAGTCTGCACTCTTTTGCGGACGTAAAGTCCAAGTAATTCGACACAATCATTTACTGCTCGTGTAACGGAATTACATGGTGTGGTACACACACAGGGTGCGGGGTACCCGGAGAGTTAACCATGTTTCTCAGTACGCTGGCGGAGAACCACACGCTATGCATTTAAGTATGTTTAGTTATGTTATATAGTTAAACCGATACATTTGCCCTTAGTCTGCTTGGCCGCAATAAAAGTAAATAAAACACCTCGGATTTTGAAGCAGAAAGGTTATTTCGAGTCCACAGCTCTTGCGCCCTGGCTTTAGGGCTGTGCCAATGTTCCCTGGGATCAGGAACTTTGTATTAAGGCATCTTTTGAGTCGAACGGCTTCCTCTGACGCTAAAGCTACGGCAGCCCCGCTACAGCTCGTAATGCAGCGATATGTTCGGAGGCCGAGTATCTCTATACCAACACGCTAAAAAGCTCGCAAATTTGGCATGACGCATGGGGTGGCGACAAGAGCATTGTATCTAGCCTAAAGAAAAAATACCCGACTTCGTAAGAGTAAGAGAGGGGGCGACAAGGAAGAAGAGTAACTTTAGCAGTGGGTAGCTGTAGCTATAAGCCCATTTACCTGATCGTACGTGCAGAGAAGAGTTTGGCCTTTTTTCTCACTAATCTAATAAGTAGGAACCGCCAAAATCTTTCTCTGCGCGAGCTTAGGCTTCATGTTGGCGCCAAGAATGAATGGATGATGTCGGGCTCTTGAGTGTGGCCAGGAGTAGTATGGATAATACCAGGTATTGATGGGACGCAGGTATTCACTCTTCTCTGTACCTTAGTAGCCCAACAGAAGATCGCGATATTTGCAGATGCTGGATACCTTGCAGACTTTATGTTCTGCATCGCAATGTCGCTGCGCAAAATGTGTCAGTGTTTTGGTGATTAGGAGCAAAAGGGTCACAGCAAGTTAATGCTGAGAGGTTTTAGCAGCACACTTTCTTCAAGTAGAACTCCCTTACTTTGTTGGATACAGAATAGAGGCTCGGGCTAGAAGGATTAAGTAGCCTACTCAATATTTTTACAGTGCTTTCTGCATAAGAATTACGGGTTGTCTTCCGACTGACAAATCTTCAGTGGCTATTAGTAATAGATATTAAAGACCTGGGTTAAGTTGCCCGGGGGGTTTGCAGATACTCAGCTCGCTCGGTCCTGATACAATATAAGCGTGGAATATCGTTAAGGCTGTATAAGTGATAAATTGTTGCGAGCCTCTTACCGTTAATGGTGCTTTGTCAAAAATGCGTGGGGGTATTGGTGGACGACACCAATAACATTTTGGATTTGTCATCGTCCTGTTCAAGCCTCTCACAGGTTGCCGGCAAACCTTTTATAGGCCAAGTTGCTAAAATGACGATCGATGGTGGCGCAACTTCGTTTAGGTTAGCGTAATTGTGGAGGATGACAAATGTTTCATGGCCCTAACGTGCGAAACCGTGCCAAGGCAAGCTGCTTCATGATCCACATCGCTGGTTGCGCAACTTTACTTAGAAAAGCATAAAGTTGCAGGATGGTAAACTTTTCACGGCCCCTAATACAGGTTTTCGAGCTGCGAATTTAACGACTTCACAGTAGGCTACAGACTAAAAAAAGTGAATTATTCGCGAGTTTTGAGTATGTACCTTGGATACCAGTTTTTATTACGATACAGCGCTACATGGCGCAAACGATACAGCTTCTGATTTATTGAGCCTTAACAATTCTAGGCTGCGATATTTACGGATCTTACTGTATCGCTTGCAATGCTCACAGCTTGCATCAGTAATAATAGCAAATATATTATAAGGCAGTAGCTTAGTAAACAAATCTATGTGTAACAAGTGTGAGACAGTATTATCTATAAAGTATACGAAATTCGCGATATTTCAGCCAATTATTTCCAGAGCCAGACAGACAACATCAAGATAGTCTTCCTCACTTTTGAAATAGGGAACGGCAAGATGACCAGCACCGCAACCGAAGTCGTCAAGTGGCTTCATCGCAAGTGGCAGGACGAGACCTAGAACCTTGTTGCGAGCCACAAAACTTCGTCGATATCGCCCGTTACGTCGAAGAAAAAGCGTCGGATTCGGACTTCCCTATCCATGCCGAGTACACTGCTTGGGGGTGGAGATAACACCCTCAAGGGCATGAGCTCAACACATATCGGTCCTATCGGTAAGGAATCCGGGACTTAATATTCTGCAGGCAGTACTTGCGAGGGCCATTGTCCACCCGGTCGACAAGTTGCAGCGATGGATTGCGCACGCATCTGCGATAACCTAATTAAGCAAATATAGGTTCGATAATGTAATGATCAATTTAAAACAGCCAGCGAGGCGTGACCGGGATATGCATGGGTGCTAACTGACAAAATGCAGTGTTGAGCCCTTCAATTGGCGGTGTTTACAGTATTTTCGTGAACTGCTTCGACACTGGCTTATGGTACGGTGCACGCGTTGTTGTGTCTGGAGATAGGCTGTTGGGCGTAAATGAGCCGACTTGGGTGCTCTCCGAAATATACTTTGGTAGCTGAACATAACTACTGTGAGTCGTAATGTTATTCTCTATAAATACCACGGCTTGAACCAGCACTGTCGCCCCAGCCCTTCATGCATACTTTCCTTCAGATCTATTCAGACAGAGATGCATGTCACTGAGAGCAATCCAGTGAAGAGCGCAGTCGTTTTCTGCTAAGTCGTGCAGTTTTCAGCAGATGATGTGCAAGTTTTGCTTTGACGAGCGTAGACGCAATATTAGTCGTTATTTAAAACAACCCTTCTTATGAGAAGTACAGTAGGAGACATTGTGGGAGACGTTGTTGTTTGACGCCCCTTGTCTGACGAGACTATCAGGCTGTTGCGGGCTGGTGATTAGCAAAATGTCGTGAATGAGAGCGGCCATTAGGGTGAACATCTTACGTGCTGAGAGTAATAATCATTCGCGGGCCACACCACTTAACGTATTGTTTCGTTATTCAGAAGTGAGGCGAGGGTCGAAAGAGAATACATCACTGTGGAAAGGATGTTTATTAACGGTGGGCGGTTTTTGACGTCGTTTCATAAGCCGTATACATCAAAGAGGGCGGCAGACCTTGGTCCAAGTGTGTATCCTTTTGAATTGTGCTCCCAAATGTAGCGAAAAACTGTTGAACGCTCGTGTTTTACTTTGTTGTAGAATTCATAAATATTTTCTTAAAATACCGGTGCATTGAAGTGCTAGACGATGTTGATGGTTTTACTATGTGGGAGAGAGCTCGTTTTCCCCGCCACGATACACTACTAGGTAAATGAGATGTGCTAGGGGTATTTCATAATCACTTTAGCCGATTTCATACCGGCTGGTCCCAGACCTTTGCCTATACGCACAATCGTGCGAATACCAGTTCGCTAATGCGTTATTTCGGTTTCAGATCTCATGGCTGTGAAAGCCAGATCGTCTACTGGCTTCGGGACAGCCAACCCATGAAATCTCACTGGAGAGAATTACTATTGGGGTCTGAAAATCGCATCCATAAGGGAGAACCAATAAGTGAAAATTCTTATTAGAGACCTTGTGCTCTTGTTTCGAAACCGTGAACATTTATAGAGAGAATTTAATGCATTGCGGTTAGGTGTCACAGCAAAAAGCTCAAAGATAACTGCGTTTGCATCCTGCACAACGCAAGCTATCCCATGCCCAATGACCCCCCCCCCGCCCCCTTCACCTGCCGCTCAAGGCACGAGATCTGTGCAAGACGACCGTGACAAGTCACATCTAAAATAAAGACGGCATTTCGTTTCCCACCATCGGGTGACGGGTTTTTAACAAATTAAGTACCTCCTGGGTAGCACCACACGGCGGCACTAACATAGCCTGGACAAACATCACGTACGGGCCTGATGGAAAAGCATGTAGCCGACGTTTCACAATAATTTTACTAGGCCCTACGCCACAAAAAAACAAATAGTGCCTCGAATGCTGAGACTTAAAAAAAATGTTTATTGGGAATGGGTCGGGATAACGGAATTGCGCGACGTGGGCAGTAAGATCGTCTTTTGACGAAACGGAATCTCTCCTTCCATGTGGGTCAGCTCTAGGTAGAGTCACATCAAAGCAGAGCGCGCGTGACTCGACCATCGTACGGGCGAGGATGGCGATGACCGCCAGATCCTCGTCACCATTAGATATGACACTAGAGCGCTTAACCTACAGTAAGAAAACGGCCCAATGAACGATAACAAAAGTCGGTCCAAAATATGCAACAAAATTTCTAAATGACGCATAAGCAGAAAGTGACGAAATATGAATATCACATTCCTGCTCCGGCGTAGATGCAGTATTGGTTAGGCGATCCTCTCCTGATTACACAGGAAGGCGATGCTGCGCTGAAACATGTTCAGTGGCCCTAACGCGTCCGATTTAAGCAAAGAAGGTTTGCAAGGTTCACATTGCGCTCAGACCATGGTGTGGAAAGTGAAGGAAGACGAATGCGGCTAATCTAAAATATCTAGGTAGACACGCATGCTAAATTTTCGACGTGTGATGCATAACCCTTCCTGACTGAGCCTGTGCAAGTGCTAACCTGTCCAACAGG